CCTAGGGAAAAATTATCTTAAAATTGATAAAAAGAATACCCTTCAAATTTTTTTTAGAATTGTCCAAGAAAACTTTAAATTTTATAAAAGTCGCGAATTAAAAAATTGCAAAATTGTATCAGAAAATTCTAAAATAATTTTCGGATATCTTTGACTCAATTGTCTCTTGTCTCTTAATAATATTACTGTATGTATTAATAAATTTCATTTCGGAAATTAATCTTTTATTCTTACTTATCTTTTTGTCTAAAATTCGAACATTGTTAAAATCAAAATGGTGTGTCGGATTATCAGTAAAATGTTTTGGTATCGGTAGTAATCTGTCCATTGGAGTATTTTCATGTTCCTTAATTCTATGTTTGAGTTTGTTGTCTGCCGTATATAAACAGCCGGACATTCGGAACATTGAAACTTATAAACAATGCAAATTTCTGATCATTTTTCTCTTTTATTCTTATCACATTAACGTGGTAATAATTTGAACTCAGGTCGCGAGAAACCGTGCTGTGAGTATTAATGCATTAAGCTCTCCTCCTCTTGCTACATAGATATATAAATATATTTCAGTCAATGGGTATTCTTTTGCCTTATCATTTTTTCTCGGTGGTATAACGTAGGAACTTGTAAATTTTATCATATGCAGATTTTATGACGCAGTTTGCACTAAAACAAGTTGGGAAATTTTTTTTTAAATGAACACTAAATTCAGCTGCCATCGATGTAAATAAAAAAAAGTACGAACGCACACTGTGTAAAGTACAAAATTACTAATTGGTCCAGGATAGTACATGTAAGGGTAGGTATTTTTCTTTTTTTTTTACTACTTTTCTAATTATTTATTCGTTATAATAAATTATCAACAAATAATATGAGTTAATATTTCGAGATTTGAGTAAACACTTAATTGCCATGTACGTAATTTGTTTTATTTATATCGATGACAACTGGATTTAGTATCCATTTTCAAAAAAATTTTTTCTAACTTGCTCCAGAGAAAACTAAGCGATAACATCTGTATATCATAATTTATGGACTAAAGGAACGCCTATTGACCGATGCAGTTTTTGATATCTATACAGGGGTAAGGAAGGAGCTTTAAAGTCGTGTTACGAACTCTACGAATCGTCAACTGACTTTTGTAAAACCAACCATTGTTTTTCTTTCATTCTTTTTTAAATAATGGCCTACTGTAGGTTCCTAGAATTTACGAATCTGCGCCACACATGCCCATCGATCGACCGAGTTTGAATATTTACCGAGTTGAAACACGCTCGTTGAGTGATCATTGTCTCCTTCGCGATAACTGTTATTTAAAAATGAGAAAAAATACAATGGCTGGTTTGATCAATAACTGACATAAATCAATTGACTATTTATTTAACTGTCGTATTGATTTGTACATTGATGCGAAATTCAACTTTGATATTTGTAAATGTTATATTGACTATTTGCCACTTGTGCGATAGAGATTATAATCCTGTATGGTCGGCAACATTCTCGCTTTGCTACGGCGAGCATTACGTCAACCACGGATGAATCACGGACTTGTAGCTCGTGTGTTGAATGTTTACCGTCTGATACGATGCCTCGTGTGCGAAGCGATATTTTGAGGTAGGCTCGGAACATGAGCGCAAAGTCGATCGAGCGAGATGTTGGAAACTTGCACAGGGAATGGGCTGATCCTTCCGCCGTGAAAATATTTTTGCTGGATTCTACTAGCGTTCCTTACCACACCACCATACCCGCCGAGCATTGACTATCCTGACATTTCATTGCACCTGTGCTCGACAAGTTGGATTACAAGCGACGCCAACTTGCAACAAGTATTGTTTTTGCGCGTGAGCACGATACATCTCATCAGTCAAAGTCTGATCTGCAGGCAATATATATATATACCTACCATTTTCAATATCAATTTTCCTGCATTTTCGCTTATAATATCGTTTCATTTTCCAAGCTCAGCGAAGAATATCAATAAGTTGGGTCGACATCGTTTGAAAAGCCTAGACTGTAGCTGCGTACATTGTTGCAACTGTCAATCGCAATAGCCGTCATTTTTTTGATCGTCGTTGAATTGAATGGCGTAATAAGCAACAACGTTGAAACATGCAATTGGAAAAGCCTTAATAGCCGCAAAGTAAATAACGCAAGGGTAAGATAGGGATGTTCTGGAATGTTGTGGAAGGAATAATTATTGCCTTGATCTTCGTAAACACAAGGCCGAAGCAGCTGTTAATCTGCGTGGAGAGCGAGTAGCGTGAGAGAGCGAGCGCAATGGGGGCAAAAGAAGCCGCAAGAAAAATAAGAGAAAGACAAGGCATTATCTCCACGGGGAAATCTTGGGTAAAAGAGGAGCAGCCGAGCGCTACTCGAGAGCGACTACTCGCGCGCGCGCGCGTCCTCGTCGTCGTCGTCGTCGTCGTTGGGACTGCTATCAAAACACATGCACAGCGAGAGAGAAGCTGCAGGTTGCGAGGACACATGTTTATTTGCTCCCGCTCGAGGACCCTTCGTGTAATACAAGCGCGCAACGCCCCAGTGTGGGGGCGGAGGACTCGTTTCTCCCTCCCTTCTCCTTATTTCGTCGCTGCTTTTCTTGTGCGCACTGACGTCTGTGCCCGATGCCTTGTTACAGAAACCTGGGAGATAACTTCTTGCTGATTGATGCTCGTCCTGTTTTATCGATAATTTGCAGATGCGTCAGCGATACTGCTAGTCACTTGGCAAATGTATACCCTAAGATATACTATGAAACGAGTGATTACCTCGAAACTCCATATTTTCAAGTTCGAACGTTAGCTGTATTAGTCGGACTTTTTAAAATATCTTGAAAATATTTTGTCTGTATAATTCCAAACATCACGGGACGTTTCTTTCGTTATTTTTCAAATATTACAACTTCTCGTACCTATGAAATTGCGTGTCTAGTGTTCGATCACATCTTACCAAAGCTCTTTAGGGAAGAGATAAGGAATCTATTTACTTTTTAGTCCTCCAAATTTTTTTCCCGCTTGGAAAAGTAATTCTTATGACGACGTCTTCGGTTTCAGCATACGTCCAATTTTTCGATGCAACTTATCATTATTTTCACTTTTTCGTTTCATTTTAAACATTTGCTAAGCTATCTCGCTCTGACGAGGTAAAATTACTTGCACTATATGAAAATTTCAAACAATAACAGTCTTAATAATAACAAGACAATTTGAAAATCGTGCATTTAGAAATCTGTACGAAAGTTTCAAAGAGAAAATAAATCAATATTTTGACATTACAACGGAGAATCATAGTTTTCGAGTATAACAACAATTAACGAACACTGAATTCTTCTGAATTGAGCAAATTGCCTCCCTGACTGAAAATTTATTCCACAAATCATGTCTTTGATGAAAAGTGTTTCTCAGAGGCATGCATGACAACTCAAAAGCATAGTTATTGTAAATAATTATTTGCGCATATTTTTCAGAACGCATAACTATTTGGGCTACAAGTTATTTTAATCGTATACTCATAATCATCTTCGTTCCCAGAAAAAAGCAATGTCATTCGAGTTACAAGCAGCGCAAAAATTGAAAAAATAAAAATAAAAATATTAACAGCCATGTGTAAAAGTTTGCAAGGTTTTGCGACTGACGTTCTCATTTTATTTACTTTTTAATACACAGCAGTATTGCAATTTACGATACAAATGAAAACTTTACTTTAATTAATTCACAACAATTTTGAAGATAGACGTTCGAAATATAAATAATTTTTTTTATATGGCTCTTTGTCATGTATCTTGAAGAAACAAAGAAAAAAAATAGAATTCACATTTGCGATGAAAATATAAATCAATTTGGGCCGGAGTTTTCTTCGGCTTCACAATACTCGCCTTCCATGTCAAAATATTATCACAGTTGCTTTTCTTGACATAAAAATATCATTTGAAAAATTAAAATTTAAACATAATCTGCATTTTTAATGTATGTCTGTGTGTGGGGTATGTTTACTGTATCCTAATACATATGTTTTTACTAAAATATCCAGCCAATAAATCCGAAAAAATATCCGAGTTAGCATAATAAATTGGAACGATTTTCGAACTGTCAATCAAAATACTAGTAAAAAATTATTCAAATAAATAAGAAATATTATTAAGCATTAGCAAAATATAGCGCGCTTACTATAATCAAATGAAAATTGTTGTGAAAAAATATTATATGTGATCAAGGATAAGAAAAATCGTTTACTGTCAACAAAAATTAAGAGCATACTTCGAACAAAAATAGAGATGAATCTCTTTTATTGTATCTCGTAAAAAATAAAAACATACAAAATCGAGTACCTAAGATTACTCTGAATGTGAAAAACTATCATGTGAATGAATATCCCGAGGTCGTGCGTAACATCGATGAATATTGAAATACGAGTTGAAGCGCGTGCCAGGTATATGAGCAAACAGCCCGAGGAGAGCAGAGGTGCGAAGAGATCTGAAGTTAATTTGCGATGCAGCTCACGTGCAGCGCGTATCACGAATAAGACATAAAACACATAGCAGGGCTTCCGGGAAAGGCGTGTGGGTGCTGCGGCTCTTTGAACTGCATTGCGATGCAACAGCTGCGACTATCCGCGTGCGCACCTCCTTCTCTCTATAGCCCTTTTTTTCTCCACTTCTCCTATTATTCGAGTGCGCGCTCGCTGTCTTGCGTGAGCCTTTTGTATATGGCTTTGTCGGCGATGAAACTTCCGTCAAGTGGCGAGCTTCTATTGTCGTCTACGGCGTTGAGTCACTTTTTTCAAACCCATAGTGCCTTTTGTACAGCTAATTCTGTTTTGATTATCCGAGATTTTGATGACTTGAGAGTTGACGATTGTAAAGCACCGTGACAAAATATATTTAATACTGTGATTAAAACAACGATAGAAAAACAAATTGATGGAAATAGAAGATGAGTAATTACCAAACCAGTTCCATGTAGCTATGCTTTTAATAATATTAAACAAAGTACAGAAATTAACAATTGATTCTCGTGTAAGTTATTTAAAACATACTTTTTTTCTTTTCTCTCTCCTGACACAAACAGCAATATTATCAATTTCGTTTAAGTCACGCACCTTTTCTATTCATTCACTTGCATTGATTCGTTATATCGCATATTGACTTAATATGCTATATAAAGTTAATATAATTAAGTAAAGTATATATGTATATCATTTGAGAAGTATTATATACAATCATACGTGAAAAAATGCAATAATTAGAAAAAAACATTATATTATAAATATTTTGTATTTAAAAAATTAAGAAAAGAACTTTATGGTAAAATAAAGCAACCGACACAAAATGAAAAAGTTTCGTTTCTTTGCTTATGATGGTGCTAATTTCCATATGCACAATCATCCCTGTTTGCATTTTTGATAATTGCAAACAGGGTTTTTAAAAGGAAAAAAGAAAACCTTTGTCGTGCGTAGAATACACAAGTAAAAATATCAGCTTCGTACTCATATTGATATTTAATATCACTATTACATTCAGAATTGTGTTATGCTGTTTTTTCTACGTCTTATAATAATAATCCTGAAATGTATTCCCCAAAAATGTACGATTAGGAAAACGTTTAAAAACATTAGCCGATCACTCTATCTCATATTTTTTCTTTCTCTCTCTTTTGGAAGGGTGTCGTTGTAGATGCTTTCCAGGGCAAGACCTACGTGTTGATCGACTAGATTGCATAATGAGCTTGTACATTAAACATTGACACTTTGATTGTTCTCACGTTCTTCGGTCTTATCATAAATAAACTCGCAGTCTTTAGAATAAAAAAAGGGTTTACGTTTTGCTAAATTCGCGAGAGTAAAGTTACAGTCACCTACCGTTAAGCGTATTGTATGGGTCTTGTCTTGTAATATGCTTACAAATTCTTTCTAGAACTAAACTTTTTCTATTGTCGCAATCGTTGTCGTGGTAAACGTCGATGTCACAGTCATGGTTGTGGTAACGCGAGCGATATTTCCAACGATGATATACGCCGAAAATTCCACTATTGTAGGAACGACAATCGTGAACAACAAAGTTTTTTAAATGCAGCGTCTCTCACGTCAACAATGTATCGTCTAACTCTTCGATCTTACCCTCGGGTTGAGAAATGGCTTTGCGTAATACTTTGCTAACGACATCAGACAGGGATTCTTTAGCGCCAGCATCCAGTAAAGCCATGCATCGCTGAAACAAAAATTTGTCAATGAATCCTTTTATTTAATTTAGAAAATGAAAATATTTAACCATACGTTTGGTTAAACTAGATCATTACCTGATGTTCTTCATCGCCTATCCTCAAACGTAAAACAGCAATCAAAGCTAACTCGCTATTTGCCTTAACATAACCATTCTTTTCCTTAGTGCCATTAACTAACATTGGCAGTAAAGCTTTTAATATTTCTGGAGACATATGTTGGGGATCGACATTTCTAGCGAGGTGAATGCAAACTCTAGCAAGCAATTGTTTGACCTCATTGCTTGTATGGTTCATTGACTAAGAAAAGAAAAATAATTTTAAGTTTGATATCTGATCAATTTTAGTGTAAATAATATTAAAAATCTTTAGGTACCCGAACGAAAGGTGTAAGTATGGTTTGAGGTACTGGTAGTTTGTCATTCAGTACATGCTCGAACAGATAACCGCAAGCACGTAAACCATTCATCACGATTTGGGTTCTATCGGCAGACAGATACGACAGTATGACTTTGCACATTCGATCTTTATTGTTTTCCGTATAAACGATGGCCGGAGCTTCTTTTAAAGCTACGGATAGAGCGGCAGAGCGACCGTGTCTCAACATCCAATCCTCGTTTACGTTGTTACCTACATTAAAAACAACACTTATATAGTTTTTATTGCAAAATAAAATAACCTTAACCAATAAACGAAAGTACGTACATAAAAGGTGATCGTTAAGAGCAGTATTCAGCTGTTCAGGACTCAAGTATTTAACAAGAGCTCCGTAACAGCCAGCTACAGCATTTCTAGTGATATCTTCCGAGTGACCAAGCATATTACTAAGAGTTACAAATACTTGTTTCTTCAATGTCTCGGACATTTTATCCCCAGCTGGAGTTATAACACCTCGCAGAGCATGCAAAGTAGTTTCCCTAAAAATAAAATAGAAGCACGTCAAAAGCTTATTTATACAGTTTATTTTTTCAAGTATCAATTATTTATGAGTAAAAGGTATACCTGATTGTCGGATCATCAGCACTTTTGACATTAGTATGTAATTCAATGAAAAGTGGATCAGCTCGAGTATGAATAACTATAAGATTACTCAAGGCGAAAGCAGCTTTCAACCTGACTTGTCTATTACTATCGTTTAATGCTTTCAAAAAGGTTGTTTGTAACTGAGGTAAGAATTGTTTGAGCATAATTCCAACTTTGCCGAGAAGAATAGCCAAAGTCTCAAGAACGGCAGCTTTAACGCTCCAGGTAAAACGATCACCAAGAATACGAATCAAAGGTCCCGTAATGTGAACGACGCTCGGTTGTAGAGCCGGTGCACTCGTCAGACGAATAACTTCGCCAAGACCTTGTGCAGCATGTTCCTTAGCCTCAGGCATACCATTCAAAATAGCTTCACGGAAAATAGGGAGAATCGGAGTTATTCCTTTCGGTAAGCAGAATCCAGGAAGAAGTTCCTGACCCTTCAAGTCAGACACGGCAAAGCGAACCGCTTGGCGTATATCTTGTACGTGTGCTATCTGCTGATCTGAGCTGAGAGTCTATGAGATAGAAATAAAGGAACGTTAACATCTACAAACTTAACGTCCATTTGAACACATTTTGTATACCTCTGTTCCAGCGCTCACAGCTATTGTATTACGAGAAAATTGCAAAAGGTGTATTTTTATAGTTTGAAGTGTGTTTTTTCTCGCGGTAACATGCAAATTATCGAAGAACTTCATTTTTGTGTTGAAAAATATTTCAAATAAAAATTTCACTATTATCGAAGATAATTTTTTTTTTTAAAGTTGTCAGAGTTACCGGCTTGGAATCAACTTTGAACCGGTCTAGGTCGTGGACACGACTTGCTTTATTTCCAACGAAAAAATTCTCAATGATCACTTTTTAATAGTCTGATTATAAGATTTTGTTCGTGGAAATAAAGCACTATACGAAAAAATTACTAAGAACAACGAGTGTTTAGAATCGGCCAAGAGTATATCTGAATTTTGTTCTAAACGATTTGAGGGATTTTTGCAATTTACCAAAAATTGACAATTTGTAAAATCAAGAAAGTTGATTGTAATTTATCAAAAAAATTCGGGTTTATTCTTTGGCCAATTTTCAGCAATTTTTGTATGCAATATAATAGCTGTGAGCTCTGGAAGAGAGTATACATACAAAAATGATGTACAAAATGTGTCCAGCTGGACGTTAATGGGTTAATTGGCTACAATCAACTGCATTAGCTGAAAAAAAGCTGTTGTTACCTTGGTTACAGCAGTTAAAGCTTCCCAACTCATTTGCAGCACGTCTTTGTCGTCGTCTGTAAACAGATGAATCAAACCGCGCAACAATTGAGGTACATACTGGCTGTAATCAGCTCTCGTATCTCTGCAAAATGCACAAAGCAGGGTTGCAGCACTTCTGCGACGACTACAATCTTCTGATCGTGTGGCCTCCATCAGTTGATCCATTACTGTCCTTACGCCAGATTCATCGGTAATAGACAAAACAACAGCTTGACAGTACTCAAGTTCTTGTAGTTCCTCGGGAGTGCCTTGTGCGCTCGACAATGCCGTAAGTAAAGCAGGAAGAATTTTGTGCAAAAACCTGTAGATTGGTAACTGCGTATTTACAAGTATTTTCAAATAGATTTGAGTGATTAATATACAAGGCACATACCTCGTGAGGGCTTCACCAGCAACACTCGCCAAAATCGATAGAGCCTTCGTATTGACAGGTGGACTAGTAAGTTGCGGGACTAGGTACGGCAGAACAACTCGCGATTTGATAGCCATTACTTGACGAAGACCATCCAACGTGTTTTCTGCTTCAGCGGGATCTGGTGAATTCAATTGATTCAACATAGCTGGAAGAATATCGTCTAATGCACGGACACCGACGGTCGAGTGTAAACTGTCGAAAGTCTTGGCGGCAGCTTGCCTTACTTCGGGCAAAGGATCACAAAGAGCTTTCCTGTAATTGGTGAAATGAAATTCTATTATAGCGCATGTCATTATAGCAAACAGTATTATGTAAAACTAATCGTACCTCACAGTCGGAACCAAACTGTTAACGAACGACAGTACCATATCCTTACTGGTGCTTGCCATAATTTCAGACAATCCAATACACACACCTTGTCGCTGATCGGCGTGTTCGCTCTGTAAGCCTCTTTCGAGAATTGGAATGATCTCCGGCAGAACTCTTTCACCTAACTTGCGAACAAGATCTCCCAGTGTTCGTGCGGCTACTTGCCTCTTGTCGAAGCTGGTGCTTGCCAAGCATCCAAGTAAAAGACTGAAGAGCGTCGGTAAAATTTCTCGAAGAGTACGCGGGGTATTTGTAACGACAACTTTCCACACGTGCAAAGCTGCTTGACGTACCATCAAAGCAACATCAGACCTACCCATGTAAAGACCAGCTAACACGCGGTTACGCCTATCGGCACCGAGAGATTTAATGATAGCATAGTGAGACTGCTCAGTACCAAAATTGTCGTCTTCGCTCGCTGTCTCCGTCGACATTTTGCCGGATACACCGGATATTCTATAGAGTAGGTCACCGAGTAGCTGTACCGACGAATATCTGAAATTCAAATGTAACATGTATATCGACATCACCGTAACCGACTCAATTGCAATTCGGCAATGATTTATATTACCTAATTCTCCAGTTATCGTCAAACAATCCTCGTTCTAACTCGGGCAACAGTAACATTATCGCTGAATCAGCGTAGAGCGTAACGATCCTTTGACCAGCCCTCAAAGCTGTTTCTCTTACATACTCGTTCTCGTCAGCAAGGGCTTTCAGAATCGGATTGATGATTTGACCAATGTAAGGTGTGAACTCCGTAGTAAAAGCGCTAGGCATGTAAATGAACATCATAATGTAGCCATCCTTCACGTGAGGAGCAATATCCGTGCGCTCAGCAGTACTAATGATTTCAGGCATGAGTTTGTGCAATTTTTCAACGCCCAAACCACGAACGACTTCCGAAAGACCTTGCGCTGCGCCCGAACGATCGACACTGCTTGTCTCTGAAGTGAGCGTTTGCATGAGCCAGGGTAAAAGATCTTCAAAGCTCGACTCGCCCATTCCACGCACCATTGCACCGAGAGCACGAGCTGATACACTACGCACCTATAAATGACAATACCAAATATGGTTTAAAATAAAAAATTAGTAAGTTCAATGTGATATCATAATATTTTTTTTACCTCAGGAACAGGATCTAGTAAACTCGTTTTCAAACCAGGTATAATCGTCGGTAAGTATGGCGTTAAATCCTTCTGGTCGGTTAATGAGTACATATTTCCAATAATTTGTGCAGCCATTTTTCTAGTCTCAGTGGATCTGTCCATGAAAGCCCTCTGAACGACAGGCATGATGAGAGCAAGTGAAGGAGCGTCAATGAAATGCACGAACTGCGTATCCAGGAGAGTCTGCAGACACGTGGCTGTCTTTTTCGAAGGATCTTGCAAAGCTTTGAGAAGAACCGGCACGATAGCTTGAATTTCAGGATTACGAATGACACTGCCGATGACTTTGAGAGCCTCGGCACCGGCTTCTTGTACTTTAACGTGCGAATCGCTGAGTACTTCGATGAGTTTTGGTACTATGCTGGGTAAGCAACTTGAGAGTTGTTTGGGTGCACAATAGGCCATAGTACCAAGAAGTTCAACGGATCCTGCATGAAAATTAAATTTAAGTATACCATTCAAAAAAATAAAAATGATTAAAAGTTAGAATATTAACCAGTTTTAGTTCTCCAAGAATCCTCTTCCAAAGCACCGAGGAGACTAGGTAGCACAAGTTTAACACCATGAGCCGATAATTTACTCATAACAACTCTCGCAGTATCATCCGTAGCTGCTCTGACATATTGATTCGAATCGCCGAAACAAAGTAGCAAACTTGGTAATACATGAACAATGTAAGGCTCAAATAGACGTCCCAACATGGTGCACAACGTTTCAAAAGCAAACAGTGCACCTTCCCTATGACGATAATTCTTCTTATCCTGAATACCGCTAGTTAGAGTGGTCATGATGTCTTGCTGTTTCAGTGCGAGAATACCCATGCCTTTGACAAGACCGGCTAGACCGTAGGCAGCACCTTTACGCTCACCGTACTTATCCGAATTAAGTAGCTGGTGCATAAGTTTTTCAAGCATTTTTGGTGCATCATCCTTGATTGATGGTACGAGATGTGGGAGACAGTTGGCCACAGCTTCTTGAACCTGTTGGATGCATTCGAATATTTACTTTAGTATTGAAAATTACAGTCTCGATGAAAGTTTCTACAAAATATATTCAACGTACCTGTTGAGATGGAGTTGACAAAGCAGCGATTAGTCTTGTAACAATAGGCTTGATTCTCGCATCATCTTTATCTAAATGCCGAGCCAGTGATCCCATTAAAATAACAACGCTTTGTTTGATGCAATCGAAGCTTCCAATTTTTGGTGCCTTATCCATGAAATCTTCAAAAACTGGCAAAAGGGATGTAATATTATCCTTTCCATGTAGATCTACTGCAGCTACGGCAGCAGTAAACATTTCTGTACGAACAGTCTGATTGCGATCGCCAAGACCAGTCGATACAAAGAACTGGATGAGTGTTCGTATAGTTTCAGGTGTGAGAAGTGGCGCCAATTGAGCAAGAGCCAGAGCAACACCTCTACGTGGACCCCAAGTGTCAATAGGTTGTTCCACGATACGTCCAAAATCGTTGAGTTTTGGTGGTATCATCGCGAGTTTGCTCTGATAGAGCATCAGCAGCCGATCAAGAATATTGGGCATTAGTTTTGGCTCTTGGTTGAGTAACTCAGCAAGAGCACAGGCTGCTGCTTGTTGGACCGATTCTACAGGGTGAGCGATGTCGTCGATAAGCTCATTACACAAGACTGCCGGCTCACCAGTAAGACCTAAATATAAAGTAATAATTGAAAAAAAGAAACGTCTCACGTTTTAAAATTATAAATAAATTTATCCTTACCAGCAGTAGTCCAAAGTTCATTAGCAAGAGCTTTATTCTCGTCGCTTACATCGAATTTCGCCACCCATATTCTTCTGGTCAAATTAAGCAACTGTACAGAATCTTCCTTGTTTGTTGGAAAAGTATTTCTAATAACAATAAGACCACGGAGTGCCGCATCTCTTACAGATATCAAGGGATTTTGGAGAGCACTAGTTAGAGAGTCAATTTCATCGGCACTAGCAAGTGCTGCTCCCTCTGAGCCGTTGCCTGATTGAGCTACATCCAAAAGAGTAGCGACAGCTTGCGTTTGTACACGTCCAGTTGTGTTACTCATGAGCTCGATCAACAAGTCAAACATCTGCTTGCGTGGTAGGAGTCTTGGGTGTTTAGGATCTTCTGGATTCGTTGAGTCACCGCGTTGTTTGGCGTGATCTTGAATTATTTGAAGTCCTTGGGTTATCATATCTGCCAAGATATAGTCATTTGAAATGAAAAAAAATATATTAAAATTTTATTATTATTAAAATATTGATTTTATTATTGGTAAAATAGTATGTAAAATAGTTACTTTCGTCCTTCGTAGTTAAAAGCGTTTTCTTGATGAAGTAAAATACGTAACAAAATGCCGGAGTACAAAATAGCTGCTTTTTCTTAACAGTTAAAGTGTGAATGAGATTGAGTGTTCGTTTGACAGCTTTTTCAAGATTTTCTTCCTCCCAAGCTGGATCCAAATCACATTGAGGATAATACTGCCTCAAAGTAACGTGAGCTATCAGCTGATTCAAAGTTTCTTCATTTGAAATAGTAATAGCAGTGCGAAGATTAACAAACAATTCCGACAATGTAGGAGCTGCTAGTGGGGAGGACAAATTTCTCAAGATGGAAGGAAGCAAATCTTTAAAGTAGAACGATAAATGAAAACCATTTCCACGTGCTGTTGCCTTCACCATAGATACAACACTCGTGATGACTTTGTTCATCTCCGTAAGCTTGTATCTGATGGCATTTTCCTTGGCAAACTGAGCTTTCACGGCTTCTTCTTGTTTTGGAGTTAACTTGGGTTCTTTGATTTTACCTTCCTTTTTACGCTTTTCATACAGCTCTCGGCGCAACTGCAATTCCTCTTGCTGTTCCTTGAAGGAATAAGCCTTACTCTCGCGTTTCATGTTCATGGCATTTAGAATGTCGTTCTCGTCGTTTCCTGGCATCACGCTCTTGTCATACAATTCACCCTCTGGAGTCAAATATGTAAAGTACTCATCTTTCGTAAGCTTTGCTATCTTAGAATCATCTAATTTACTTATCACATGCGATACCAATGTTGGGAGTATAGTTTCTGGAGCGATAAATGTGACGCGCTGAAGAGCGTTTTCATAATTTGCGTTAGGCTTGTAATTTTGTATGAGAAGTTTCTTGACCTCATTGCCGCATTTCCTTAAATAGTCTTCAGGCGAATCATAGAACCGTTTGGCAATTTTAAGCCAAAGATTTGGGGTTGCTTTGTAAATCATAGGATGATGTGCTGGAATTAAAGCATCTTTGATCAGAGTTACAATATATGGCTCGAATAAAAACGAGCCTGAACAAATTGCAAAGAGGCCTTCGGCAAGTGATAATCCACAGATTGCTTTCTCAACATTAGGGTCTTCTTTGCTGTTCTCCTTGTCATTATCCACCTTAAATTTAGTGGATTCAAGGAATTTGTTGAATTCTAAGAGTAAAGATTGCACTGGCTCATAACTACCTATGCCAGTCAACATCCACTTTAAAAGAGTGCAACATTTATTTCTTGCAGCATATTTTGGTGTTGTCACACAAACTACAATAGCCCTGTGTACACCACTTAGAGCTTTTTCATTCAGTTTATCTATGAACTCTGAAACAAGTTTCTCACAGAATTTCATCAAGTAATATGTGGTGTCATCGTTTAAAGTTGACAAATACTTTTCAGTAAAAAATACTTGGTCATCAACTGCTGACCATAAAACATTTTGTTTGTCATTGTCAACTTGACCAGTTAAAATTAATTGTAAAAACAAATAAGCAGCGTATAAACCTTCTGTAACTACTGGAGGTTGGGCACTCTGTTGGAGAGCCTTTGTTATAGACTGTTGTAAAATTGGCATGATGATTCCTGTATAATTAGCAGTTGGCTGGGTTGGTAGGAAAAACATCATTCTGATATAAGCAGTCTTCACAGCAGGAGTTGAATTTTTGGATCCCATGCCTTGTTTAAATGCATCAATAATAGCTTTAGGTTGATCATTGGCAAATTTTTCACACCATAGCGACATCATTTCTAGTGCATGACACAATGTTTTCTCATGAACTTCAGTCTTCAAAACTTCAATGAAATGTTTGCAAGCAGTTTCCGCTAATGTCTGCACACTACTACCACTAACAGCATTAAAACTTAAATTGCCTGCACCCTGTAAAACTGAAATCTTGTGAGTTGCAACTGTTAGTTTACCCTCAGAACCATTAAACACTGAAAATACAAAATTTAATAGACCCTCCACTGCTGAGCTATCAGAGCACTGAAGTGCTAATTTTCGACAAGCATCTGCAGATTCGTCTCTAACTAAATCATCTTTCGAATGTAAATTGGCAAATAAACCTTTACTAAGATCTTGTGCATAACGACTCAAATCTAAGCTCAACCCACTCAAAATGTGGCCAACTAATTCAATTATGATTTCTGGATTCCTCAACATTGCTTTTTGTAAAGCTGGTAATAACTGACTCTTGAAGTCATCGTGAGATATCCTTCTCAAAAATGGTGTGGCTGCATCTATTATGTAAAGATCTGGTTTCTTTTTACAGCTAACACAAACTTTAATGAAAGTATTCAGTATTCCAGTTTTAAGCTTGTCTATAAGGTCTTTCTTATCTGATGCAATAAGGTAAGTCGTTAACAAGCCTGAAAGTGCAACTACACCTTCATTAGCTTCAGCAGTTATCAGAACATCAACATACTTTTCTTCAATATTATTTTTAACAAATTTCCATTCATGAGTAAAAAGTAAATCAACTTTTCTTGACAGTTTCTTATTTCTAGCTGCTAAAGTAGCAGCCGATAATTTCGCTTGTGCTTCAATCAGTTTTACCAAATCCAAGTTATTAGATACCAATTCATTTGCCCCATGAAGAAACATAAGTGAGCTCCATTTTAAAATAATGTATGCAGATGCCGCAGTGTTATATCTTGAAATAAAAAAAATTAATAAAAGTTAATCAAACTTGATAATAAAATTCTGATCACTTCCCTTTTTAAACATTTTTAAAAGATAATAATCTGATGTATTTAGGGTACTTACGTAGGTATCAAAGTTTCATAGTAAGCAGCTTGTTCTACAATTATGCTAGTTAAGTTCTTGACTGTGACCTGAAAATGGTTTTTTATCAAGGCCACAATTAAATTTTTTACATAGGACTGTGATGCCGTGTCATTGTATCTAGGTAGTGTAATTGGAATACTTTTGCATATTCCACCCACAATCTTTTCATTGATACCTGTAATTGAAAATTCAATTTTACAAACATCAATTTTAAATAAAATACAATTTGTTTTTATATTGGACCGTCTTATTTTACCATAACTGAAAAAAAATATGATGAATGAGCTGTAAAATTAGAATGGTAGTAAAACAGACTGTAACCAGCATTACACAAAATGAGCGAACCGTCACTTGAAAAAGTCATGCAAAGCTGTTATCGTACAGTAGAATAATGAAAATTCACGTAAAGCTAAAGCCACGTATTGCCGTTGAATAATTGACGTAAAAACAATGAAAGTTTGCACAAATTAAACTGGAAAAAATAAAGCGGAAACACACTGACCAGGGTTTGACAAGACGGTGACGACATTCTCAAATAGTTCCCGGCGCTCGTTTTTACTAGCGGTTTGGATTCTATTTGGTAGATCCTTCAAAGCCTTCGTTAGCTATAATAAAAAATTGTGATTTCATTAGCTATTTGCGACTAAAAAATCAAATTAAACTATGTTCCACGTGACAGACTCACCTCGGCATCCGCCATATTCCGAAAGAACCGGGGAAGTGTGTGCCAGTGCAGAAATCTTTTTGAGGCTATATTGTAGGCAGCTTCACACGTATACACACAAGAACAATTGCGCCGCAAGCGCAGAAGACGTGTCGCGCATGCGAGCTCGGACTCGATCGCGAGCTTTTTCGCATTTTCGCCGCGCCCGCGCGTAATTGGTTGTGGATGTGAATTTGTGTATATATATATACTGTGCGTGCGTGAACTTCTGCAATTTTTCGAGCGATGGGATTGCTTCGAGCGCGAAATTTGAAACGGTGTTTTGCCAATTTTGATGATATTTCATAACTATGTTTTTCGTCTTTTCAATTGTCGAAATATCGAATATAGATACACTCGACATGGTCAGATTAGTGGATTTTTAGCCAAATATATAACTTTTTATAACCACAAAAACAGCTATAGTCGTGAAAAGAATAATTTTACATTATTTGGGCTTTAGAATAAAATTTGAATGGCGTGATTATCTGTATTTAAAAAATAAGTTTTGTGTAGTTCAATGAATCACTTATCACTTGAACACTTAAATTTATCGATAATTAAAAATTTGTTGTAATCTTCATTGTAATTTTAGAAATGTAAGAGGGCTGGCACCACTGACATATCTATTTCTTCAAGTTAGAAATGAGCGTTGACAGTACAACTCTACAAAATATTTTCCGGTCCATCGTTGATCCGCTTGAGATTCTTACTACGAGATGGCATAAGTTTGCTTGAAGAAGCGGCTCCAAGAGACGAGCAGATTTTACTCTTGCTCAGTTTTGACGCGCACGCGATAAGTAGTTGATGCGTTATATCTCTTGGAGCTCGTCACGAAGCGAGTCTTTGTTTACCTCACCGAAGAAGCTTCCAATTAAAAACATGTTTGGCAACTTTTTTAAAATCTATATCCCCGGGATCGTTTCACTGTTATTTAGTTTACAGAGTGCAGGTGAGGTATTTGTGAAATAGTTGAGTCATTCGCCAATAATCACTCGAATATTCCTTTCAATTTAATTATTAGCTTCATTCGATTCTAAATCATGCTTAAGTCCAAACATAATTGAGCGAGCTCAGTGGGGAGCTCGGTCACCCGCAAGTCTCAATTACTTGGTTACACCTTTGCTCTACGCTGTGATACACCACACGGTCACTCCGGAATGCAACAGGTTTAGCGAATGCGCCGATATTGTCAGAAGTATACAAAATCATCACATGAATGATCTTGGGTGGGATGACATTGGCTATTCGTAAGATTTCACATTTTATTCTCATATTAATATATTTCAAAGAACTGTTGTTGCGATTATTGTTTTTAAAACTTTTTCATTTTTATTTTATTATTTATTTTATTTATTTTTGACAATTTTCCGCATGAAGTGATTCAATATCTTTCCTTGATCGTTTATTTCTTCTGAGATGTAGTTTTTTGTTCAATTTGAAACAAATTGACCTTCATGATTCAGGTAACAACTATGTAAAACGTATCAATTCCTTCGATCTCTGTGAACAATATGCCAATGTGAATAGAATTCGAATTACAAGTTATTAATTAAAAAAAAAAAATATTTACCGACTAAAATAAAAAAAAACTTCAGATTTATGGTGGGAGGAGACGGCAATGTTTATGAAGGAACCGGTTGGTCTACAGAAGGTGCACACACCTTAGGATATAACAGAAAATCCATTGGCATTGCTTTCATTGGCAACTTCCAGCGTGAGTGTAGCAACACGATTTCTAAACAAATGAACATCGAAAACGTTCATTCATGAAATAAGGAAAAAATTTCGTACTTGCCAAACTCAATTAAAAATTTCAAATGATGTAATATGGTAAAATAAATATTTTACAGAATCATATCGGAATTCGTCGCTTGAAATCACTGTGGCCAAGGACGCGAAAGAAAAGAGTCTGCAAGCAGCGCATGATCTGATCATATGTGGGAAGAACCTCGGCTACCTTCGTTCGAATGTAAAGGTCATTGGTGCTCGTCAAGTCAGTGCAACGGAAAGTCCCGGGAATAAACTATACGCTCACATACAAAGTTGGCCCGAATGGAGCGTAGTACCAAGAAGAGAGAACATCTTTCCTTAAAAGCAATAAATAACATTGTTTTCTTTTTTTTATTTTTCATCAATTTTTAATTTATTTCATGTTATTTAATCTTATTATATACAAGACTGCATTAATCTAAACATTCGTCTATGATACATCATAACATAGGACAGAACGTGTCTTCGCAGAGATAGTGAATTTTGTCGGCAGCTTTCAAAAACGATGTAGCAAACGTAAACATAAATACGAATCTGTCCACAGAATCAAATGTGACGCGCGACTTATTCATTATCTTTACATATCGTTAAAAATATTTACAAATTCTATGGCGTCTCCTGTGTGATCGGTGCATGCTAAGTGCTTGGTCTTCTAGATCAAAGACTTGCAATAGCTGCGAGACGCTGTGAGAACGCATAGAACATAATGGCGGTGACCTTTATTAACATTTTCATCGATTCGATGAGTAAATGATAAAAATGTTTGATTACAGATTGAAAAATAAATACGAAATTCGACCTGTTCGAAGTCTTTACTTTTAATTTGATTGATAGAAATAAAAAGAGGAATGCTACTGGACTCGCATTTAAAATAATATTCGTCTAATTTTACAATAATGAGTTGTTTGTCAAATTTTTGTGTTGCGAATTCGAAATACAATTATTCAATAATCAACAATTGTGGCTACTGCAAAGAGTGCGAACTTTACAATTACTATTATTATTTGATTTCTAATTCCATTGTCGATAATATCTATTTTTCTCTGTAAATAGTGTTTCGGCGACGCAAAAATAAATAACTGTTTATTAAGCTTTCGTGTCGCATAACTACGTAAAGAGTTTTCTATGTACAGACGCAAAAAACTAAGAAGGATTCGCACCGTTTTCATCACAATACCTGTACATACAACTTTATTATCGCTTTCACCGCGATTGCACCACCACGAAAATACTTTAATCTTTTCTTTCTCTCTCAGTTTACAATCATTAATGCACCATTAGTAAATTATTAAAATGCTCGCTTCTATACTCGCAAACACCTCGCTTATGAAATAATCTCATCAAACTTACACTTATAAAAGGCCTCCGCCAAAAGTGATTATCACCTCAGAATACAACTCTTATTATTACGTTGTTATTACTTAATTTCATTTTATTCATTTTCATTAAATCATGATTCAATTTTCGCGTAAGAATGTCATCCAACGTAAATTTTAAACTCACACATACTAAAAACTATTTATGCATGTCGTGATTTTTTGTTTTTTTTTGATAAAGCATTTTAAAAAAATGAAAAAGCAATTTTCCTCTATTTAAATTGCTACTTTGATGGATATGAAAAATAACAAGATGTATTTCAAAATTTGTTCCAAATGAATTATTGTTTTCAACAACGTACGTTCAAGCGTCACTTGCATATTATTTTAAATTTTATGTTAGAATCGTTTAAGTTTATTTAGCCTTTACATATATAGTAAAACACATTCTGAACTTGAAGTATTCTAAATTTTCACACTAGTAAACTTTCAATTTTAAATAATAATGAAAGATATTTATAAAATAATTACAGATTATAAGACACTAAAAAAGTTTGTCCAGACATTTAAAATGCTTTTGTACTGAAATAAGTTTTGCAGTATAATCTTTTTTGTAGAAAAAATTGTTGCAGTCTATATTTACTACTTTTTCATACCCTCAAAGCAAAAGAAAAAAGAAGTTACTCTTTAGATTCAAAAAATAATACTTTACCTACATTTATCTTCCAACAATTGCGTTGGAAAAAGGAACGTAATAAAGGGTTAATTTCATTCAGCGTATGGTTTTCTTTGAACTGTTACCTATCAGCTAAACTATATAATACGTAATTTGACGCAAAAGGAAAACATAAGGATCCTAAAAAGAAGATTTTACATATTTTTGTAAAATATTATTGCATTGGCTTATAATATTTATAATAATTGTAAAATGAAAATAAATAGCAATTCGCTATTTGTATTTTATCAAATAAAAATCAACTAAAAAATGAGTCTCATAGAGGGTGTTTTTCTCAATCTCCGATTCAGGATCCATCTTAACAACCTTCCCTAACTTTACGCCAAACTTCAAAGGTAAAGCTTCTTGAAGAAGAGAGATTGCAAACAACAAGAGATTCTTGACAGATCAATTTTCATTGCTGATTGAAATCTTCTCGACAGTCGATATAAAGAAAACTACCCCTCTACAAGTTTGTGCAAATTTAAGAATGGCCGAGCTACCTAAAAACCTTATAGTAAACCCCCCTTGCGCCCGAACAGAAGTGAACTAATAGTACCGAGCGTTGATTGAGCAGATGCTTCCTTGGTAACTGGTACTGACCCACTACTAATGCCCACACCAGAAGGTAGCCTAATTTGACCATGATCTGGCCTTATCGTCCTCGAGCCACCACGTCTATGTCTCGCTGATAAACGTCGCTGAGTTGCAAAGTGATCTGGCTCCTCACTTCTCGATCTTTCGTCCCTATTTGAGGCAAATGAGACACCGCATCGCGAATCGTCGCTTACAATAGAACTGGCTTCTGAGCCGAGTTTCTCCGATGACATCGAGCCTTTCAGAAAAGTCAGTTGTGCCATGGGACTCTCGCGTCGGGAATAGAGAGCACCTTGTAACGCCAGTTGTGGCATATGCCAGCTATGGTCAGACTTCTCCGTGAGCTTTGATTCCGCGTCATCATCGTCAGTTGGTTTTTTTTTAAGCATATCGCGCCGGCTCTTTCTAGTGCTAATCTGTGGCGGCGGCGGCGGCTCACCGGTAAAGGTGCGCATAAGCAGCTCAGCGCCGCTGGAGAACAGATTGAACGAGGATGAAGGCACTGGGGAGGTGGAACGCGAGTGACGTGGACTACCGTCCGGGCTGTTGCATGGAGTCGTTGTTGGCGTGAAATTTTTCTCGGTGTTGGGCGTGGAAGCAACTGACGAGGCGTTCGCTTTTATCCCGCGCTCGTTCAACATTTTGGCAAGGCCCAGCGTCGTAGAAAAGGTTGAGGTGGAATTACGACGACTCAGCATTCGTGGAGTATTTATGCCGGAATTTGGGCCACTGTTTGGCTGACTAGCTACGCGACTGGAAATTACGCTTGAGGTGATATTAAGATGGTCGTCCGGATGCATGACAGTGCTGTTGGTATAGGTATAGACCGAGCCTGTATCTTGGAACATTTTTCCAGGATGCATGTATTCCTCGTCCTCCTCGACGTCGGCAAGAGTATAAGTTTCTAGACCAAGATCTTCCAGACCACGGCCACCACGTGTTTTGACACCCGGTCGATCTTCTAATAAACCACCTGAAAACCGAAAATTTTTTTACTGCAGTAAACTCATTTATTTTAATGATACTTATTTCGTATTCTTTATGTGATCATAAGAAACAATATTGCAATAATTTATGAATTTCCGTACCTAAGGTCGGTGTGGCAAGTTGCGACCAATGATGTAACGTTTGCGAGCCCTCTAGTGGCTTGACGATTTGCAATTTCTCAGGTAATCGCCAGGTCGCTGCGCTGTGGCCGCTAAAACCGCTAAAGTTACCGCTACTTCCAGTCGACATAATACTGTCAGGAGTACGGCATCCAAACGGCACATAATTCGGCGGCGAGTGCGCGGCACCTTCACAGTCATAGCTGTAACCAGCACCTGATCTCAGGCAAGCTCGTCGGGCATTAACTTCGGCTGGGGTTAAACGACGTAATGCCGCTTCGAGATCTGCCGCACCTGGTGCACCTGGAACGCCTGTTTGTTGTGGACCACTAGAATGCAAAAAGCATTTAAAAAACACATAAGCATGAAACTTATTTTTAACCATTCAGAAATGATGTTCACGTAAAAGAAGATTGACTTACGGATATTCTTCGGAATCCTCGGTAAGAAGAGAACCTTCGCTATCGCTGTGACCTGTGGAATCTAAACTTGGGAAGGTAGAACCGATGGCCTTGGTCTTCTGTAAGGTCGAGGTCATTCGTAATCCTGAGGAACTGCTTGACAGTGTCGACGTTGTCATGGAACCTAACCGAGGGAACTGATGACCGTCAGTCGACAGGTGGGCCGAAGCTTTAGACGCACTCTTCACCGTCTCGAACACTTTCTTGTATGGAGGTCTGCAATTTCAATCACACCAGGAAATTAGAAAATTGTCATAACTACGACGTTACGAATGCTAAGCGTAATGTGTGCGTACATTCTGTCCGTAAGAATACCAGAATCCAGGCTAGACTCCGAGTACAGCGAGCATTCCAGTTCCATGGCAATGGAATCGGGCTGAGGTGCTGCAACTAGCGATGGGAAAAGCGCACCACCACGAGCTATAGGCATTGCTCGTTTGCGCTGCTTCCTCAGTTGATCCTGAGTTTCCGCCAGCACATTTACAACCTTGAAGCAAACAAAAACATAAAAATTGAATCGTTTATATATCGTACATGTGGTTGATTAAGTGCTTTTGTAATGTCCGGTTCGTACGCACCTCGGCATATCGATCCTTGAACTTGGCAAGCTCATCTGCCAACGCGTTTTGATTTTCCCTCGTAATAACTAAATTAGCACCGACCTCATCGTGCTCGGCCATCAATTGCCCTAGCCTCAGTTCCGTTTCCGCGAGTTTCGTCGTCAGACTTTGAATTTGATCATGCTGCATACGATTCTCCTCTTTCTGACGCTCCAACTCCTCGGCTATACCGTCTACTTCCATGTTTGCGTTCGCTGTGGGACAGTGTTAAAGTTGAAGACGCAAATACGAATAGCGTATAGGTAAATGAAACGCAGCAAACTAACCAAGTTGATTGGCAATGTCTTTGACTAGACGAGCTTCCTGCTCCTCGCAATCGTCGGCTTCTGAGACAAGTTTGGAGAACTCGTTTCGCAGTTGTTTATTCTCGTCCTCCAGGGCGCTGATCTTGTGCTGCATGACATCGAGATTGATACCTCGGAAGCCACTTGGTGTACCGGCTTCCGAGCCTCCGGACTCCTCGACATCGTTGGTGAGCACGTGAATGAGCTCGGTTTTCTTACCGACCTCGTAGGCCAGCTGCGTAATTTTTTCATTGGCGACTTTCAACTCATTTTCTAACTCCTGCACCGTCGTCTCGAGCTTCTGATTGTGCGACAATAACTCCTTGCCAATACGCGCCGTCAGCTCCAAGTCTTTCTCTTTCTGCGAAAAGTCGAAGCGAATTTAAGAGTAAATAATTACGATGATCTTGTTTTCGATCGTTCATTGCAATTTCGTACCTCCTCCAGAAGCCTTGTCACTGCTTCGATATCATTATAAGTCTTGGTCATTTGGCTCACACGGTCGCTGCATAGAACTGCAAAGAAGACGGCAAAACGTAAGATGAATCGATAATCCACACAATTTCTATCTGCCCTATTAACTATTTTAATCTCAAATCATCTATGTGTATGTATCTTCGAGCAAATAACGTCCTTGAAGCTTCAACCACCTATGCTTGTTACTTCTCATTTCGCGCGTGTTCGTTTTCAACTACGTGGTTAACGAGAACCTCGGCAACACAATAACACAGAGGCATGTTTGTGCGCCGTACACACAGGCAAAAAAAGCGGGTGATCGATGAACAGAAGAGTAACTCGCTTTCGACGATGTCACATTAGCCTAAGTGTATCGCTGTGCAAATACATACAAACGTGTTTAGTTTGCGTGCGTGGTTAAAGCTGTTTTGGCGTCAGCTCTGCTTGCATTACGGTGAATATCGTCGCTAGCGGGCAATCGATTCGCGCTACTATTTTTAAATGACTAATAATGCCACACACCGCAGCATCTCTCTCTCTCTCTCTCTCACTCTGGAGATAAATATACACCCCCGTCCTTTGTTCGTTTATACTGACGCTGGTGCATTAATACTACACACTCCAAGTTTTTTTTTTCATTGCTCCTCGTGCTACGAGCTGACAACCAACTTGTAATTATCTTCGTGAAGCCATTTTTTTTGTGCCTCGCTAATTTTCAATTTCGTTTTACGGGCCGATCAAAATATACCATACTGTGTAATTTGGCGGAGGCTTTTAGTCGTTTAATTTAAAAAAATAAGCTCGTAATTATAATTTCGAATAATTTCGTAGAATAATTTCGAAAGTGACATTGAACCTTCACAAATATCAACAAACGCACGCAAATGCAAATTCCATAAAATACTTGTTGGATCTCGTGTTTCAGCACCATAAAAATTATCATTCGTATGCGTGAGATCTTTCTTCTCTGCCCCATTAACATAGCGAGAGCGAACGAATGAAAAAAAAAACGAATAACAAGTAAGACGAACTAATGAGAATGGAAAGACGAGAGATGAGCTCGCGGCCTTTTTCTCTTTAGCCAACGTCGACTTTTCCGGATGATTCCAAGGGAGAGAGAGAAAGAAAGAGAGAGAGAGAGAGAGAGAAAGTTGACCTAGGCATTGAAAAGCAACGCGCGCGTGTGTATCTGTGCTTTTTAACGCTCGAGTTGCGATGTTTTACGCTTCGCTCGTGCAATTTGAGCGAGTAAAAGCGGTTCTATGAAATCTTGATGTATCACTTTTGGATAAATCAACGTAGCCTTTGAATAGCGAATCAATTAAAATTGATCAGCGTGGATCGTTGCAACATTTGATGATGCAACTCTAAAGCTGACGTTACCAGGTCCAAGTATCGCTCCGAGCGAAAGGTGCAAACCGCATGAAACTTATTATAAACATGTCAGGAGGCAGTAAAGTAAAATAATAAATAAATAAATAAATGATAATAACAAATAAGACTGGTTATCATGACGCTCCGAATAATGATCGATCGAGATAAAAAGCAATATACATAGTGAACGCTGCAAAATGTAAGCGTTATCGTGCACGAAAAAGCAACGAGAAAAGATAGATAATTAAGTACAGGGCATATTGCCAGTAGGCGTGGTAAGTACGAAGATGGGTGTCTGCGGGGCGGCAGGCATGCCGCAACTCTGACATGTGCTCCATGTGGAAGTGGTCTCGACATCGGCGAGCTCGAGGCCGAGGCCGAGACCAGTTGCGCGCAACACTTCGGCTTCGCTACGTGGTATGTCGTCGTCGTAAACGTACGGATCCTCCTCCGGCAGTTCAGCCTGTAGGCTATGCTGTTTGCTTATCACGGCACACGACGAGGCTGGCGCTGCCGCCTCACCGGCCACGATGTTCAAATTCGCATCCAGCCTGCTCGCGGACTTTCGCTTATCCACCGCGATGATAATAATAATTCAGACCACGAGACGACGTCAGCTGGGATTTTTTCACTGTCGTCTTTGGAGCAGAGTGCCACGACGACGGAGAATGCATTGACTGTTGCCGAGAGGTTAAATAAAGAGAGAACAAAGTAAAGGTCAAACAATCAATCAAACTTGCTTTTGGAGGACTCTTTCGTTCCATCGCTCGTTATATAATTTTTTCTTTGCGAATGTATGAAATTAGCCGAACAGAAAAAGTTCCTTTCTTTCTTTCGCGACTCTCGAAACTTTAAATAGTATAGCCTCGCTTACACCGGATGTCGAGGAAAAAAGATACATGACCAATTGGAGTAAAAACCTTCGTCTTATATATTATTTGAAAATTGATGGAACGCTAAACGAATCGGTCTTCAAGTCCTACTTTGTCCGCGACGCCTAATCATTATTGCGGTTATATGACCGATGAAAAAGGAAAAAATAAAATGTAACTGTAGCACGCTTACGTGAACGGTGTTTCACAGTAAAAATTAAATGTATAATATATTTGATTGTTCCGTTCGGTATTGCTTCTTCCTTTGAAATATACTGAGTTTTTCAATTATAATAGAATTTAGATTTCAGAGACGTGATTTATAAAAATTAATTAATCATTGGAGCCTCTACATCTAAATCGATCCGCATAGACACGAGACGGTGAATTAAGTATTGCGTAAAAGTACGCATACAGTGAGAAAGTATTAAAGTACAAGAGAAGGCTAAAATTACGTGATTGGTGCAATCGCCGGAGACGCCGCAAGGATTATACATTGCATTTTGATTCATATGAGAGAAATCGCGGTCAACAGTTTCTTTCGTCCTGCGGCGTTATTTCTCATCTATTTTTGTCGAATCGATGCGGCGGCAAGTTATACGAATAATTAATTTCGTATAGAGCGAGAAAAATGTAAAGTCGTTTCGAGTCGAAAAGAGGCGTGTACATATAATATAACTTTCATGGCATCAAGTATAATAGACGAGAATGAAACGTCGACAGAGGGACATTGTCGCGCGAGGTTGTTGCTTGCTGTTTTTTTTTTTACTACAGCAGCAAGTTTTCAATTTGTGACCTCAACAACTTAATTATTCGTGATCTCGTATGCGCTGATTTGTTTCATTGACACCAATACTGTCAATGAAGAAAATGTCCTTTCTAATTAATTGGCAAATATCAGGCAATGATCTTCCACTTTCGACGACAACGAAAAGAATCGCAACGCACGAGGACGACGTTACGCTTGGTTGCGTAAGAGTTTTGTGCTTTTGCCGCGACGTACGAATTTCACATATCGTCAAACATCAGATAAGCAATTATTCTTGACGACGGCGTCCTTTTGGCTAATTGTCATAAGAAAAAAAGAGAACTCACGTCTCATTAAACATATTGAGTTCTATGAGAAAATAATAAGATAAAATTACAGACGATAACGGTAATGACCCTAATTAATCGAATACGAAAGTAAGCCGATCCATTCATTGCTACAAACTTGAAAAAAGGAAAAGGACTTCGTTTACTTCGTCTATGAAAAGGGAATCGAGACTTCCCAGAATGAAAAGGTGTACGCAGTATTCAGAAACGAGAGGCTACTATTATTAGGCAGGTCGCGCTGCAAGTTCTCTCTCTCTATCTCTCTCTCTCTCTCTGATATAAAACTGGCACGGCCTTGCGTACAGTAAACTGGCTAAGTACAGTGCGCACACTCGCGGGCAACTTCGCAGACCCGGCTTTCCGTATGTCCTTCCTCATGTTGTTTTGGGTGGCAACCACTAAAACTAAAGAAGGAACTCTTTCTGCGCGCTTTCGAATTGAAAAATTATGCAATATGTTGAAATTCGCGATGTACTCGTTTTCGTTCAAACATTCACATTCACTCAAGACTCAACTATACAGCTAGAGAAGGGATGTTGTTTGTGTTATGCTCACCAGAAAATAAACAAGAACGCCAGCTCTCGAAGATAATCCGTAAGAATAGTCAGACATACGCGGCGAGAAGAGAAGCGAGGTTATCTTACAGAGCTGCGCGCGTTTCACCAGCAGTGCAAAGTTTCGAGAAGGGGTGGCTGGTGCTAGTGGCGTCTTTCATTAGCCCCTCTCACAATTTCACCATTGGCGTTATGACTTTAATGGAATACCAAGTCGATGGAGCTTTAATGTCACATTCTCACGAAATCAAAGGCGAATTTCACCTTTCGTTTTTTCTATCAAACGCAAAGAGAAAGAAAGAGAGAGAGAAAGAGAGAGAGAGAGTGAGAGAGAGAGAGAGAGAGAGAGAGAGAGCGCGCGCAGACGGATTTTACACGCAACTACACATACACTTGTGTCACTGCAAATCGTTAGCCGGAAGTTATACCACTTGTCGTAAGGTAGAATAAAATTTCGAACAAGAAGACATGCTAGCTCGGATACGATCGAAGGCAAAGAAAAGGTTAGAAGAATCGCGCACAGCACGGCGCAAGCACTGATCGATCCGCCATGTCTGGCCGCCCGTATTGTACTCTATACAGTGCTCCGTGCAGTCGTCGGTGTGTGCAGCAAGCTCTGCGCCTAACTCGTAGATGTCGAAGCGCACGACGCAAGCGCAGCAAACTCGCCGTCTCTCGACCCCGCGACTTTCGTACGCATCTGAAAGGGGGATTCCGCGGGAGAGACAGCTGTCTGCCGGGAATTTTTACACTTGGTCGTTTGTTCCGAAACGCACCCGCGACAGATCAATAACCACGTCACTTGTCCATTTCATTTGTGCGTATACTCTCCCAAGATAGGCCAGAATGCTATTCTATACGGAGTTGTTGCGCAAGGTGTAACAATTTATTACGTGGTTACGTGAAACCGTCGATATGAATAATTTCGTTTCAACAAATTGACGACAGTTATTTGCGCTTCGCGTCGTCGCTTACGTAACGAAAAGACCTTTCTTCTTGCTCTTTTTATTGCTGTCCATCAGCGATAACGCAAAAGTGTCAATAAAAACTAAAGAAAGAGAAAAGATAGATTGGAGGGTGCAGCCGACGTAATGTGAAAAGCGATGAGTTGCTGCAACGACCGAAAGCTCGAGTTTCTCTAAGAAGGTCAGATTGGATAATCCCTTGACGATTTGTCCGATGCTGCCCTTCGCTTGTCATGTGCGCGAGAGGGAAAGCCTATGCGGGGACGCAGTCCCGACAAATGCGTTACGTATCGCTTTTGCTTGCATCGAAGGCTGATTCGCGCCAATACACTCGCTGCCCATCTAATCGGAATCGTCGAGCTCAACGATGCTTTTACCTCTGTTGAGTAGCAGCGTCCTGACGACCCTAACGTAGATCTTGCCGTATTTGGTCCTGGCAACATGGAATAAGAAATCCGTGAGGCTGCCGTCGGCCTCTAGGATGTCGGTGTCCTTGAGCGTGTCCCGCATGGCCTCGACTCTCTGATCCTCGGTGCTCTCGTCGGGACTGTGCAGTCCGCGCTCGAGGTACTCGACGACACCATAGTCATCCCACAATTCACAGTTTTCGCTCGATCGACGTCTTCGCGATTGTCGCCAACGCGAGCGTTCCTCCTCGGTGTAAGCACGTGGCGTCGAAGCTGAGATCGGCCCGAAACCGGACACGTCCAGTGCCAACTCGTCGAATGCTCTTGTTCCATGCTGCTGCTGCTGCTGCTGCTCTGATTTCGAGGTACAGAACGAGCTTGACGGCAAACTACTACTGCCGTCGCGATGGCTCATGACATAGTTGGTCTTAACAACGCCGAAACTTGTCGTGTTCTCGGCGCGTCGTTCTTAGCCCTATTGCGATCTCATCTGTACTCCGCGACTACTGCTATGCCTGCGAGAACGTTGTCGGTTTGTTAATCGATCGAGCTCGATGATTCAACTTGGAAGAAGTTTCTTTTATGCACTTTGGCCGTGCGCAATACCGTACCCGCCACGTAGACACCAATCGTGTCTTTTTTCTTCATTTTTCTACAAGATAGAAATATTGTTCGTCTTTTGTTGTTATACGATGCACATCGTAAAGTACGTTGCTCTCGCGGTGAGCGCCGTTCCCGCGATAGCTGTGCACGCTGCACATGTCTGAAAATCGGTCGTCTAGCGGATAGATTAAGAGCGCACAGGGTGCCGACTTACCGCTTATTTTCTGGCCGCTGTGCCAACGAGAGACGCTTCGCCGCCACTGGCAAATGATCGCGAATGAACGACACGTTATCCGTATTGGCCGTTATGATAATTGTTTATTCCGTGAAAAAGCCTTGAGCGCTTTACGCTCCAGCGCCAGCGAAGGAAAACAACTACGCTCGTTATTTCTTTCGGATTGTCGACGTTCCTGCGATGTGATGTCAAAGCGAGTGTATCGGTCAATTCGACTGGAGCGCCGGAGGCAGTCAATGGAGGATCCGAGAAAAAGAGAAGAAGCGACGAAGCGGAGTCGAGCCGTAGGTCTCTATTAACTATTAAAGAGGCAGGCAGCCGCAACTCTTTCGCTGGGCGACCTTGGCCAAGCGGCTTTCTCTCTCGCGAGCAATTGGTCGATTGGTCGACTGATGTCGCGAACCTACGTCCAAATGAAGACGAATCGTGCTTCTCCCTATTTTTCACGTGCTGGCTTTTTGGAAAGTTAAACCTAGAGATTAAGTGGTCATTTACTTTTCGGTGATAAAGTTGTAAAACAATTGTTTTCGGAAAGAGCTTAATGCTCGCAGCTTGAAACAGGAAGGTTTCAGTACGCTACGAAAGAAAAATGCAAGTCTCGAACGCTAAGTTTTCTTTCTTTTTTTTCTCTCGTCGCACCAACGTCTTTTATTCGAGCGTGCTGCGCAACTTAAATTAAAAAATAAACAGGTTCTACGTATATATTCGATGTACACTCTCTTCTTTATTCGAGATAAGTGCAACGTCCCGCATCAGGAATGAAACGAGCGTCGTCCTGGTCAATATTAATTAGCGAAAGTTATGAATTGGAGCGAACGATATGGTGTGTGTGTGTGTGTGTTCTTGCCTTTTTGTGAGTTTGCCAATTGGAGTACGTCGGATTTCGACGATTCGGAGGTGCGATCGTCAACGAAAAGAAGGCACTTGACCTACAGCAACGAGAAGCTTGGCAAGTGGCGAAGAGCTAACGACGGAAAGGGCTTCCGTTCACGCTTCAAGCGTTCCGTTCAAGCTAATTGGCAAGAGCCGAAGCAATTACAAGCGAGTTTTATCGAATTACACGAAATGAGAAGACGAGCAAGCCCCAAGATCGACGTCGGCGATAAGTAAATGGTGCGCGTGGGCGACGCGTGCGCAAATTAATGAAAGCTTACAAGGATCGCCTCTCAGAGCTTCAATGATTTATTGTCCGAGTGAAATTCTTATCGTTTTTCATTGCAGAACCGCGCGCGCGGATCAACCGAGCGTGCCCGTATACGAGTGCCAATGAATGGCGAATTCACTCGAAGAAATTAGCACCGCGAAAATTATCACTCGCTTGGCCATGAATGAACTGTTGCACGAGTTAACTTTTGATGGTTTTCTCGTTAGAACCCACTAAAACGGAATCTTTTGGTTTACTCTCGATCGCAAGTGCCGACCATCATAGCAAATTGGCCTCCCCCCTTCGGCCCACCCACCCAGTCGTCAAATGAAAACACGCGAAATGCAAAGCATTGACTTTACGTAACTCGTCGTCGCGTCTTTTTTTCTTCCGCGCGTTATCGTCGCGTACGGGCTTTAAAATTATCGCCGTCACTTGATCATCAACGCGAATAGCTCTCGATAAAACAAAATAAAAAGCCTCGAAAGCATCACGTTTGAGTTGATGCCTTGCGAGACCTGCAGCTGCGCGCGGACGTTCGCTGATTATTGCGGTCGGCATGGCAGGCAAAAATAAACGCGACTGCTGTCGCGCATCTACAAAGATAGGCGCAGTGCAACAGCGATAGAAACACCAGCTCCGCTACGTCTAGTTTTATTCTAGAGTATCAAATTTTGGAACGACGGCACCAAAGCTCAGAATCGTGGTTCTTGTTCGTCGCGATAAGAGCGAGCGAGAAAAGGCTTCTGACCAGGATATCGAACGTGTGCTTTGCATGCTACTCGATGAGCCATTATACACAGGCTGTCGACAGACATGCAATTTTGCTCTTGTAGCTAAGTATATAATCGCGCTTATAGACAGCTTAGACGCGATTGCTTTTCATGCGATAAGGCTTCAAATGCGATTGTCAATTTGTCAACGGGTTCCTTTCGACTTGCGATAGCAACGTGAATCTCTTTTGGCGGGTTGACTCAAGACGGTAGTGCGGACTTTATTTTTATCTCTCGGTGAGTGAGGAAAAAGAAGGGCTCCGACATATACTCAGTCACGTCCGACGAATGCCACATGGCTTTTACAATTTAACGCTTTTTAAGAAAGATTCGTTACAGACACACGCGCACGATATGTAACCGCAAGTGTCCGCTGTTAATCGCGGAGTATTCCGACCTTTTACGTCACTGATATTCGTTCACGATTCACAGCTCTGATTAAATTCGAACGACAGCTCATTTTCTTTTAGAACTTATTCCTTTACAGTGGGTATTACACGAGTTGAAAACGTTGGAGCCGTTGCAGCGGATAAGTGCTTCTCCAATTTAGAGAACTTATAGACACCGCGCAAGAAATCTAATTTCTCTTGCCTCCCATGGCAATCTCCCACGACCTTGAGCTTGGAATCCTCCCCGCGGAAGTTCACTTTTTTCCCAAGGCAAACGAGGAAGCCGGCAAATAAAAAAACCACTCCCGCGAATTATCGACGTATCCTAGATTCGATAATACGACCCTGTTATTTGCTCTTTTTTAGTTTGTCCTCTACCCTTTACACGCCATTAGACACTTGGAAACTTGTCGAGGATTTGCACCCCGAAACACACAAAGCACGGTATCTCACAGAGCCAAAAATGAAACTTCTTCCAGAATAATCAGACACACAGCAGACAAGGCGCGCACATGTCCCCCCTAGGGATTTGGCATGTGACGCTGAGGGAAACACTTTACACGGAAGTTGCCGAATGAGCCGCCTCGTCCGCGTACAGCGAGGTTATGTCATGCTCGCAAGGGCTTTTTTACCTTTCAACGATCAATTTCAGTTTTGCGAAAAGGAAATTAAAGAAAGCAAAGCATTGCCAATGCGCACATTATATCGCGGCACTCAACGAAGCACACAACGATCATCACAGCTGCTTAGAGATAGGCGAACTCACGCACTAAAAAGTCATGCGCCGATGGAATGTCCGCACGTTAGTAGCCACGGCGAGGCCACGGAGCTAACTGAAAGAGCAAGCGAGAGAGAGAGAGAGAGAGAGAGAGCGAAAGAGAGAGAGAGAGAGAGAGAGAGAGAGAGAGAGAGAGAGAGAGAGAGCGCGCGCGCGCCAAGCGCAGCAGCGGGGCGACAGCTACGTCACTGCTTCTGCTCGAGCGTGCGCGTTGCTGAAAAGAGCATTGGCTAATTCGAATCACGTTTCTTTCGATGGCTATGTCTTCCTCTTTTTTTTTTTTGTTTTGCCAGGGAATTCTGAAGGATTTATTGTTGATTTATTCTAGACATGGAGGTCAACGATAGCCCGTGCGCCTATTAATTTATATACACCTGAAAGGATACAGTTTTGTTGACAAAACACATTTTTTGGAGTCCAACAATCTGAGAAGGTAAACAGTGATTTGTTGTCTTATTGAATGGCATAAAATTCACGGCAGTTTTTATTCAAACTCGCGTCTCACGCATCGCGCTCCGTAATAATACATTTTGTATTTTTTTCTTAGGTCGCGATTTTGCGGTTGTGACGTATTCGCAGAGAATTTTAAGCGTTCCACCGAATTTTTGGCAAGGAGAACAATCGGACAGAAATCCGCAGGTATGACTAAGCTGTTTAGCTCTGAATTTTCTTTCCGCATTGCGAAGATGAGCTAAAAAAAGTGCTCGGAAATTAACAAACTCAGCTTACGTCGACGAGAATGTACCAACGAGGGTTCGACGAAAGACCGAAAAACATAAAACTAGTCCCTAGAGTTTACGGTTTCGGCTGAAAGTGCACTGTGAAAGCGCTTTTATGGTATACAAGTGCACCTTGCACTCTCGCGAGAGACGTATTGTTACGAAAAGCCGCTTGGCGGTTGTTGAAAACTATACTTGACGTGGATGCGGCTAAGAGAACGATTGCAGATTTAAGCTTTCGACGGGGGAAAAGGGATGTATAGCACTAGAGAAAAACGGAATACCTTGAAAAACGCATTTTTAACAAATTATTAGTCAAAGTTAATCGCACAAAACAGTTCCCGAAACTTTATCTGCATTATATTTAGACGATTACCGAAAATGTATTTTCTAAACACGTATCTCCTGCATACAAATACGCAGAGCTTAATTTGAGAAGCATGCCAAGCTGCACGATTCAAAGGACTTTATTCTATTGCGTCGCTGAGTTGATGCTTATACTTTTATACTCGTGTGAAAATAAAACGGACAAAAACGAATGGGAGTGCGAGGAAAATATAAACCGCAAGATTGCGAATATATGACTCCAACAGTGGTTAACGGTGAAAAAAAACACTCGCTTTATAATCGCGGGAGTTTCTCACGTCACGATGCTGATTAAACAAACGAATTAAACGGTTGAATGCTAAAAATAAATTTTATGGATAACTGCTATTTCCTCGTGATAGAAAGAAAAATTGTGAGTGTGAAAAGAAAATATCGATTTTTATGTCAAATTATATTATTGATTAATGTATTGAAGCGAAATTCAAATAAAATTTTAATTCAAATAAAAAAAAATTTATTTGAATTTCATTTTAACTAAAATATAGATATACTCCTTGTTTTTCTTAATACAGTAAATGTTATTGTAATCTAAATAGAAGAGTCTGTAAGAATTTTTCTTTCTAATATTGAAGATTTCAGTTGGAAAAAATGCTTGTTTGAATAAGTTTAGCATGTTTTTTTTTTAAATAAAATCAATAAATAAATCTATGAATCTTCTACGTTGTATGTTACTCCTGATCAGCCCTAATTTAAATAGGACTCCTTTTAGGGCTTCAATAAAATATATAATATCACCTCATGTTACCTTTTCACTACAAATTATAAAAGTTCAAATTACTATGTTATGATAATGTTTCTAATTTAAGCTCATTTAAGTATTTTACAATTAGTTTAGAGATAAACTAAACCTCCCGTAACAATAAACAATAATCAGAGCTTACGAGTTCGTATGGGAACGTAATTGTTACTTTCTTATAGTTTTTTCTCACGTTGTACGTCATTTATGTTTATATAGAAATGTACCACATCAAAGTCAGCACAGGGATTCGTACGATTGAAAAAAATAATGAACTTGGTTTAGGAAATCATCAAATGTCACTTGATTTTATCATTGTACAGAGCATTCCTGTCAAATATATCAAGTTACTGAAAAAGAACAAATAAAAACAAATCAATTGTGTCACGTCAAATAAATGTAACAACTTATAAACAAATGGACATCATTTGACAAAGTTACAGTAGAAAAATAAGTGAATTACAACAAATTGTTAGAACGATAGTGCACATTGCACTAAAATTAAAAAAAAAAGTGATACAAGTTTTCTCTACCATTCAATGTAAAATCACAACAGCAATTGAATCTTTTTCCTTCGTAATGCGGGGACCTCAATTTCCATACAAACACACAATAACCTGGCACAGAGTGTCATAAAAATAACGCTGTATACTGTTGAGAATGGACAAAAAAATTTCCCACCTTAGTGGTATACGTGATAAGACGTTGCTCATCTACAAAATAACTAGTTGCATTGAAAAAAAAGTTCCACGCTTTCCACACGAGAGAAATTTTTTCTCTCCATACGAATGCAAATGAGTGTAGTTGTGAGAAATATCACTTAAATTTATTCTAAATTTTTTTGTGAATAATTGCATGCAGTCGATGTACAAAGCGTTGTCATTATTTTGCTTTATTTTTATATTTTTTGTTGTTTATAATACTAGTTTACTTTAAAATGAGAAAAAATAATTTTTTCATAGACATAAAATGTTTATGAAAAATTAAAAAGCTTAAAGGACGTTTGCTTTAATTGATTTCTTTTCCTTTCAAAGTGAATCATCTCTATGAGTGATGGGTACTTTAAAGATTCAAGAGTATATGAAATTGGAGATGATTACAAAGCATCGAGTCAATGTTACCAGTAAATAACGATTGACACTATATTTGCAGTCTCTCTCAATCAAAGGGAACTTAAAGTTCAAGTGAATTTCGAGCAAAATCTTAATGATAACATTGGAAGTGCTCAAAAAAAAGCTGATAAAACGGTACTCACTGAAGTAGTTAAGTGTCTCCCGGATTTGGTCCGGCGATAGTTTTAAATCTTCGTCTTGCGTAACTTTAGCTGACGGGATGTACCAATCCTCGTTCTCGTAGCCTGGAATGATTTACACAGTGTCAATCATTTGCCGCTTTAAAAAATTTTAAAGTTCTTAGGAGAAGAAAAAAATGGTTGCTCACCTTGAAATTGCGTGAGGGTGTCGGCTCTGAGACGGTACCTCGGTATCTGTTCCTCGAGTAGACTGATTATCTCAACCTCCGGCAGCTCCTCCCCGCTGCACACTTCTGCAACAGAGTTCTTTCACTTTAGCTTCCCCGGCCAATGGCAGTCTGTCTAATCTAACCACGTGTGCTTCGCATACATTTTTTTCTACTTGTGGCTCTGGTACGTATTGATTTTTGTTTTCCTTGTTAAACGGCCCGCAACCTCAATGCCCGATGTGCCCAACGAATGCTAAGATCCGTTGGTACTACTTTTCTGTTGAATTATAGTTTTCAACAACTATCGCTTTCACGAAGATTCTCGTTATTATGCAAAATTAAATGGTTATATGCGTTTCTTGCTTCGTTTTTTTTTAGAAAGCTTCGTTGTATTTTTTCCACGTTGCGATCACAACACAATGACTTCATATCTGATTTGGCTTTCAAATAGAAATTAAGATACCAACAATGTCATTCGAACCGCGTGAATTGTTACGCAAGTGTATGTTCGCAGCAGCCGTTCGTCGCCTAAAAACGTTGTTTCGTTACGTATTACAGACGGGCAGACACCGCGTCCAGAGATTATTATTCGTTTGCCAAAACTCCCCGGCGAATCGTCCGCACACCTTTGCGAAACTATACACAGCTTTGGCTTAGGAGTGAAAGAGGAAACGCTGAATGAGACACGTAGAAACGTTGGTATTAATTTCGCAGGAAATTGGGGTAAAGAAACTCGCGTTCATTTGACCGGTCGTTATTTAGGATGCGAGCCCAATAGTCGAACAGAGCGCTGACATTGGAGCTACAGCGCCTCGAAATAGACGTGCGGCTTGTCATTCTCTCTCTCTCTCTCTCTTTGCCAGTGCACTCTCGCTATGCATACTCTCAACTTAAATGGCCCGAATTCGCGCACGGGGCAACGATGTCTATTCAGCTGGGGCGGCTTTTCTGAGAGGCTGATCTAATTATCGGCGTTACTCAACTCGTTTTTTTTTTTTGCACGACTGTCGAAATGCAATGATTGAAAAATCTTTGTCAATTCTTTCCAGGCCTAATTTGCCTGTCGAACAATTGTCCTCCATGATTTACACTGAGAGTGATGCGTGCCTCTGAAGAAGAAAAAACTTGTATAACTTTGTCGTGCCAATACGTCTGGTGAGATATGCAGACGGTGTTATGCATGTTTTTTTCTTTTTAATTGAAAAGCGCGAAATCGATGATGAATGGAACGTGTCGAAAAGCGAAAACTCTCCAACCAAACGTACGAATAATGCGTGCTCATAATACGTGTTTTATCCATGACTAGGTGATACCCTAAGAGTCGTCATCGTTCCTTGAAATAAGCCGTCACTGCACGAATCGCGAAAGCTGCCGTAGAGCTGCGCGTGCCTTTGATAAAACAGTAGCAACAATATTGCTCGTCAAAGCCAAACTGGCGTCTTATAAAAGAGCAACTCTTCCTGGCGTCGTTTGCGATATACAAAGAAATTAACGCGCTTGGTAAATCGAAAAAGGTGTACTTAGAAGGTTGATCGAGTACGACCTCGCATGAAAAACGTCAAGTGTGTATGTAAGTACATATACCATCGCGCCACTTGCTGAGTATGGCGTCGCGCTTTTCAAGCGCGTCCTTGAACTTGGCCGGGCCCCTGGGCCTGTTGAGCCGCGTACTCGAGCCCAAGGACATCACCGACGACCAATAGCCGCCACATCAGTAAACAGCCGCCTCTTTCTCCACCGCTCACTTCTCTTCGCGATCAATCATCGCACGGATACGGATCGAGTTGCAGTGAGCAAAAGATCAACCCTTTCCCTTTTATTTCCGTTGCAGTGTGCTCCCGCCGATTACTGGTGCGCGACTAAGTACAATCGTTGTCTGCGACTCCTGTCACTCTCTCTCTCTCTCTCTCTTTCTCTCTCTCGCATGGATTCGTTAAAATAGCGAGCGCGCTTGGCCCGAGGCCAAACGACTGGCGAGTACAGCTGCGGGGCCCTTTTAGATTTCTCGCGCGGTCCGCGGCGTGTACACAAACTGGGCCGCGACGTCGTTATTCTCGGACCAGTGTTGTTTCACTTGCTTACATTTTTCTTTCGCCGAGGCTAGAACGGCACGTTCAAAAGTGCAGTCTGCGATCGAGGAGAGCTGCATCGCAACGGCAGGCACACGTGTGCGCGGTTTAATTGAGCTTGAGTAATGCTCCACGCTGTGTATGGATCGTTTCTCGCGAAGGCGCGCTCGCGCGTGCTATGAATGCCCGTAAAGACGTTGCCGGCGGTTATTGCTAGCCGTCAACATGACGATCTTTTCGTTCGATATGTAAAATTAATGGAACCAATTCAAGGCGAGGATTCTTAAAACGGCTGCTCGCAAATGAAGCATCGACAGGTAAGAGCATAGAGCCGTGCACCGACGCCTATGTAGTCATGCGCTCGTGACGCATCGGCCGCGCAGAGCTCTCAACGCACACTACACGCCTTACGTAACTCTGTTTCGCCGCTCCGAAAAAGCTCTTTCTCGCGCGCGCGCGCGCGAGCGCACTTTTGACAAATCAATTCACTTAGTCCGGGCGCGCGCTAATTGCGTGCGTACTCCACGCGAACGAACGAACGAGGCGTAGTCCATTTCTCGTCTTTTTTAAAGGTCGCGAGGAAAGAGTTTAATTAAAACAATTGTTAAACGAGACTTTTTTTTTCACGATGCTCTTACGAGCAAAAATATGTCCGTGTAAAAACGAACGGGAAAACAAAAGACGCAAATATAGCGAGCACTTTGAAACTGCGGTGATGTTTGGTTTTTCCGGCGAGTATTTTTAGCAGACGGCGTGCACGGCACGCAGCTGCACAAGTACACATCTCGTTGTGGTAGAAAAAGTTTATTCATGAAAATAACACAACTTAAAACTGATGAGCGCATCGCGCGCGCACAAAGGTAGCATAGAGAAGAAAAAGAGCCGTGGTCGATATAACGATGATGATAATGATGATTACGGCGAAAAAGGAAGAGAATAGGCAATGGCGACGGGAATATAATGTAAATGATGATGATGATGATGATGATGATGATGATGATGATGATGATGTAGAGAATATTGCGGGAGCAATCATCATTTGGCGCTAACACACGGCGACCAATGGAGAAACACACCATGGGGACGCGCGCTCTCAGGTAAGTGTGTATGTGCACGAGTGAGTATAAAGTTGAAGTGACGCGCCGATGGGGAGTCAGTGGGAATTCAGCTAGCGAGTAACGTCGATTTCTCCTTGAACTCCTTTTTCCTCTTATCGCAGATTTCAAAGTCCGTTTTCGCATCTGTGCGATTGTGTATGTGTGTGAGTTAGCCGTATTAATTTGCGCGCGGGAAGCTGATAAGCTTCGAGTGCGCGCTGATTACACGCCGAGACGAATGCGGATCGATTACAAAAATTAGGTAGGTAAGGTCCGTTAAACCGTTCGCCACTTCTACGCCAACACGAATTTAGCAACTGCGAGCGAGACAAGTACATAATGTCGCCGCGAGTGCAAAGTAGAGATAAGGAGAACTAACAATATTAAAGTAGGCTGCCAAGTCTTGCGGCTACGCTATGTACAGAGAACTGCCGCGGCAAGTTTTCCAATTGCTCAGAATAGATATGTAACACGTATAATGATGGCGGTAAATGTTTATTTTTTTCTCTAGCTTTGATAACCCGAAGAAAATATAGGGGCTCTGTTACCCAGATCGCGCCTATTTATAAACACACTCACGCATCTGTCGCTCTTATGACACGCATGCAATGTCTTTTGACAATCGTGTCTTTCGAACATCCGCAACAAGATAGCAATTTTTTTTTATTAATTAAAGTAAAGGAGAACGAGTTTCGATAAGATTATTAAGCGATTAGCTGTCGATGTGAAAGAAGAAATAATCTGACCTGTAATAGTCTCTGCGTCGCGGAAAGTTTTGGCAGGTGCGTTGGTCCTGGTGAGCTTGAGTTTGTACAGAGTGGCCCTCGTCGCCGGTGAAACCTTCACGGAGCCGGTCGGTGAGGTCTCGGGCCACTTTGGACCCACATCCTCCACGGCGGCCAGTTTGGACGCAGCTGTGGCGACGAGCGAGATCGCCTCACTTTGCTGCAAACAATTATTCAATTACCTTCCATCGTCTGCGAGAATTTTTTCTTTTTCTTTGTTTTTCATAAATTATTTATTTTGTTGATTGGTCGTCGCGTCATGACCTTCTTACGCCGATACTAACATTCAAAATTATTATCTTGCATTTTGAGCGGCAACGACTATCGTAAAAATAATTTTTCAGTTATTTGTAAGCTAACGCATGAATAATTAACTATCCAACGAGCAAAGCATACGCTTATAATAGAAAATAGAAGAAAGTAAAGATCTTCATTCCGCAAGATGAATTTTGAACAGAATCTTACAATGAAAGGATACCTGCCCTTCGCTCAAAGAGATCAATTAAGCGCGCTGCTATACACACGTGTATACCCACGTCCCTTCTTTAAATGAAGTTGCAGTACATGACGTAACCTATCAAAACAATATACATATATATATATATACAGACGCACAACGATTAGAAGAATCCCTTGACGGTACTGAAAACACACGAAAGCCAAGCTAGCCGATAAATCGTGGCGCGTCACTCTCGCACGCCAAGCTAAATGCGAAGCTCACTGTGGCTGGAATAAAGGACTCGGCGACGCCGACGACGCGCCGTGCACAACCACGACCCCAAATAGCCACCCACTTGAGAATAAGGAGAAGCCACGCTCGCTTTCGCCGTTGCGACTTACGTAATAGACGCCGCGCGCGACATCCTACGCCCTGCACATTTGCATATATCGGTGTCTCGCACGTGTGCACCGCGTTGTACATTTGTACGATCGATGCGACCGGTTAATGGCATCGATTTTTATTTTTAACTCTAGACACCTTCATCGAAGAAAGCGACGCGTCGTTCGCCTTATTTTGCGTGGGAGCTGTGCATACGGCGACTAGGCTCGGCTGCTCTTCCACGGTTCTAACCGGGAGTCCAATGAGAAGCGCAACAAACATTAATTCCGTGAGCCGCTGAGACGAGATCATCCACAAAACTAAAAATACCGACAGTCAATAAACGAGTTATTTCCGATCGTTCGAAAAGCCGGCGTGCAGAAAACAAATTCTGTGAATAACAATTTACGGCAGACGCATTGCCATTCACAGGCACTAGCTAACGGCCAATCGGCCATACAGGACATTCAATAAAATTTCAATTTCGCACACACAATAATCGTCGTATCGCTTTCAACGCACACTGACACCCACGGTAGTCATTGATGGGCGAAATCCATTCGAAGCGTCCAAGTGACTAAATTCTTGAAGAGTGTGTCCAACGACGACGCCGTACGTCGTGACTCTCGGGTCCCCTGGCTAAAACTAAACCGTGTGCCTCTTTCTGAATTTGTCGTACTGCTACTGGTCCCTCTCTCTCCCTCTCTCTCCCTTTGGCCTGTCTGCTAAAACGCTACAGGGGGGTCTACTAATTACAAATGCTAAACCTTCGACCCGGGATACCAATCTATGGTTTGACCGTCTGCGCGTTAAAATGAACAGGTCAGAAAGTATTTGAGAGGGTAATTAATACGCTGTTTATTGAGAGAGGGTTAGTTGGGGGCGGGGAGGAAAGGGAAGCACAGTTGTTGGAATCGTTTGGTAAACATGCGTTTTTATAACTATCATTGATTTGACACTCTGGGATACGGAATTCTTTTAGGAAAATATTCTACGTAAATTTAAATTCTAATTTCAAAAAAATTTTGAACGTGATAATAGAAATGATTTAGTAATTGAATAATTATAAGATCTTTAAACTGGAGATTTTTAAAACTGGTTATTCTTAAAAAGTTGACATAATTTAAATTTCACAAATGAAAGAAAAATTTTTCTCTGATCGTTTTATCGTGAGAATTAATAACAAATTTCTAAACCTAACTATATGGTTATGAAGTTGGTGAAACACAATATACCACGAGCAATCGTTCGGGCGAAATACACGTGTCAAATACAAGAATCGATGACGCAAAACGAACTCTCATGAAAGCATTTTTGTAACGAGTGATTCAGTAAACGCACGCTTGTGTGTATATCTTAAAAGTCATATTTATCGGCGACCGTCTCGAAAACGCGCAGTCCGAGTGGAAAGGTCGACGAACGTTGGCCCTTGAAAGTGCCAAAAGTACTTGAAAATGCACTTATTTTGTTCGCGTAGGCGCTACCGCTTTACAAGCAGTGGATTGCGTAAGCGTTTTTATCTTGTATCAGGGACTCGGTTACCTTTGTGCAGCGAGAAACTACTACTTTCACTTCAACAAGTTCGAAGATAAACGTGGTATTATCGTACCGAGTGCCAGCCTCCTTTTATCTTTTGCTGTTTCTCTCTTTCAAGTGCAGCTGATTTGTGTTTGTATGCTAACCAATAAATACATGCATGTCTGTCCAAAAGCTTTAAGCATAGACTCACTCACCGTCGGGTAGATGGTTGAATATTGTGGATTTGGTTTCTTCTATAGAAACCCAAGTATTCACCGACCGAGCTTGGACCAAAGCAACTGAAAATACACAAAAAGTACTATGTGAAAAATGCTACGGGAGGTAACGTGTTGGGTTGTGTCAAATAAGATTGAAATTTGATATAGTGGTTTGCTTGCTGCATAAGCTGATGTTCGTGATATTGATTGATATGACATTTTGTTGTCTTTTATTTCGATACAAATGTAGAAATGTATCTTATATGTATAATATAATATAGCTCTTATAATTAAAATACATCCATACTTTGAAAGAGCTAACGTCAAAATATTGAAATGGTCATTTAAATATTAGTGAATGGAGAATTTTACTAGTTTGTAAATGAAATTTAAGTGTTACTCAACTGTACAACATGTACAACATTGAGATGAAGTATTTCTTGATAGAATGATGGATTTTGCTTATGTAACACAACAGACATTTTTAGTTATGATAACCGAATGTCTGTGCATAAAGTTTCACTAAATACATTTTTGTCGCTCTATCTTTAATGAACCAATGATAAATTTATGTACATTTATCATATAATTTCAGTGAGTGATGAAATATTGATAACAAATTCATGCATACTGATACCAGAATGCATTTGCCAACCCTTGACAATAAAAGTTTGATAGCCCTAATTTCTTACTGCTATTATTGCATTTGTGGAGCAATCAATATTAAAAAAATCAATAAACACCTCCAGCTACCTGTCACACTGATTTATCAATGAAAATCCAAGGGCAGATCATTATTAAATCAATGAACAGCCACCAGGGCATTCCCTTGTTTCAACACACCACGTTCTATAATAAGACACAGATTAAAAACATTGCAAACTCATGCGCAACCACTCGAAGAGAAATACGGTGTTGACGGTTGGTCAGTGCACAGAACCTTCGCCAAGGTTATTTGCCAAGGATTAATCTCCTTATTCGCGATATATTGGTCTTCGTAGTATCATCGAGCCGGGAAAATTCGTGTAAGGCTATAAAATTTTGAAGAGAAAATTCATATTCCTTTTCATGTATCGATTGACGTCCTGTGACAACCTCAAAAAAGGCCTTTACAAGCAAAACATTTCAAAGGATCTGCCAAACACTTAACTCACCAACCTAAGTATACACACTTGGACGTTACGATTTTTCGAGTTTTGGAGTAATGTTAGCCAAACGAAACACTCATCGCACAAAGGGTTAAACTCACCGTGTTTGGGGTTTCGTTACGCATCCTTGGGCACCTAGATCTGGCCCTTGGTTCGTGCACACATGCTCGCACGCGCCTGCTGCTCGATTTTTCACGAAGCCATGGAACGATTGCCACCGTTCTTACTCAACGTGGTCCCACAACTCAGCATTCTCGTTTTCCGCGGGTTCTTCAGTTGAAAATACTCCCCCGTATCGTAATACTGATGGGAGTACAGCAGTCACCTTTACTCTTTTTTTGCGCCCGCGTACGACGATCAGCGAGTTTGTTGCACACACTAGCACATCATCGAGGGAACGACACTGGCAAACCAATATGTATGAAGCATGCAATGCGAGAAGGAGAGTGGAAAAGAGATGAAAAATAACGAACGAGGCGCGCGACCACAACCGAGCAGACTACAAGAAAATGGCTGCGATGATGACAGGCTTACCACTGTTGAGAAACACTTGGTGGCAATTTTGAAATTGTTTTGTGAATTTCGACAATGAACTTTTAAGTTTTTGGAATGAATTAATACGAGAAAATATAACAATCATGTATGAAATGTTTGAATTTTAAATTATCTTTAATTATATTATATGTTTTTATTAATGAAATTTCATTTTTCGTGATTGAGTGCAATATATCCATTCCACAACGTCACTTTTAATTTATTTGATTGAGCAGACTACCATTTTCATTTCATTTTAGTCTGGTAGTAAGATATTTCAAATTTAATCAATACTACTTTTGAAGGTACGCATATTTATTTAATAATAAAGTAAATAATTCTCGCATCAAATTCAAAATTATTTAATCTTCTTTCTTTCACCGAATACATTATTTAGAGTATATCAACAGCTTCAGTTGGCTAGATCAGTGATTTATTTACTCATTCAATCACCCTGAAAATTGCACAACGCCCAGAAACATGAGACTTCCTCGCGTAGTTTTTATAACGCGGGTACTTTTCAACTCCAATTGAATGGTATTTATATAGCTCACTCGATAACAATTGTCTATTCGTAGAAAATTAATGAACAATTAGCATCAGCAAATGATTGTATAATCGCACTTGTCAAACGACATTAATTATAAAAATAGAACGGAATCCACTATTTTTATTTGCTTGTCTTCGCATAAAATCTGCTTACTTATTAAATTATGGGGTATTCGGTGATAAAAGCGTACAGACGTTGGCACGAGAAAGCGCCACCGGAAATGCAACGTTGGCGCGCGAAAGCTCGAAACGCTGAATTTGCGACCATGCCGGTTTATACGAAAAAGCTTGAATTGCAGTAAACGAAGTGATTCTCGAGTGCGGCGAGCAACAAATCACAATGTGAAAATTATCGAAACAACGAAAATTCGCGGCCTCCTGTCGGTGAGCGAAGCTCAGTAGAAACAAGCGATCGCAAAGCTGTGTCTGCAAGCTCAAAAACTACATGGCGAATCTAGTGACATTCTCTCGGATTGTTATGCCGAGCCTGCCTATCGATTGTCATTATTTATATCGTACGTTTCCTCTTCAGTCATCGATTCACTTTTCACATTTTACATTTTTACAGTAAAATGAGGGAAACAAGTTTAGTTTAGCCCCGGAACGGTGCAGGTTACGGTCGAGTATCAAAGCACGAGTGGGTGGGCGAACCCATGCGCGAACCCAGGCGTCGATAAGCGAAAAAGAGAGAGAGAGAGGCACAGGCGGTCGCAGCGGAAACCAGGCAGGCATCGAGCGAGGGACACACAGACGGACGCGAGACGAACAACAGCAGCGGCGGCGGCGGCAGTGGCGGCGGCAGCAGCAGCAGCAGCAGCAGCAGCAGCAGCGGCAGCGGCAGCAGCAGCAGCAGCAGCAGTAACAGCAGTAGCGAGTGGAACGCGAGTTAGCGAGGAGGTAGTCAGGCCAGGCAGCCATCGCAGGCGTGTGGCGAGCGAGTGAGAGGTGTGGAGAGTAGTAACAGCAGCAGCAAGCAAAGTGGCGAAGCTCGCGCGAAATGACGGATAGCAGTCAGCAACAGCAGCAGCAACAACAGCAGCAATTCTGTTTGAGATGGAACAATTTCCAGGCGAACATCACCTCGCAATTCGAGGCGCTGCGCGACGACGAGGACTTCGTCGACGTCACCTTCGCCTGCGACGGCAGGCGGCTACAGGCACACAAGGTTGTGCTTTCTGCATGCAGCCCCTACTTCAAGGAGCTCTTCAAGGTTAGAAACATACCTGTTTCCCCGCCCCTCCCTCCCTACCCACCCGCCTGGCATATCGTCTCTCTCTCGCGGCTCTCTGAGGAGATTGTCTTCACTATTCTCTCTGTCTCTCTCTCTCGTGTCGCTTGGTACTGTGTGCTGCCTGCTGCTGTATGTGCCTCCACCCACCCCCGCCCCCTCTGACACCGATGCCACAGCCAGTGAAAGAGAGAGAAAGATAGAGAGGGTCAACCCTTAGGGACGGGAAAGAGTGCGGCTGACTACCTCTTCTATCTCTCTCGCTCTTTCGTTCGTGCTTGCTTTAGCTTACTCGCTCGTTCGCTTGGTGTGTTTCCCCTCTGTGCACCTCCTCCTCCTCCTCCTCCACCTCCTCCACCTCCTCCACCTCCTACGCTTCGCTGCTGCTATGCCGTTTCCCCTTCGGTTTCGTCTGCTCTATCCGTCTCTCTCTTTCTGTCTCTTTATGCATGCATTTCGCTTTTCACGCACACATATATGTACGCTCGCGCACACGCGCACATACACACACACATGAAGCTACACCACACGTACAGATATATAACACATAGCCGACCAGGGATGGGTAGATCGCTAGCCGTGGACCTTTTTTTACCGCTTGGCCGTCTCTTTCTCACTCTTCTGTTTCGCTCGTACTTACTCTCGTGGACACACGTGAGACGCCGTGTGATCAAACAAATATTTGGTCAGATTGGATTTTGGTTGTCGCTCCTGTAATTCTAGTTTTCGATAGCAATTTCATTTGCGAAATTTGGCAATCTTTCTTTTTTTTTATAGTATATAATAGTATACTACTGTGGTAAAAACAATATTGTTTTCATGTTATGAAAATAAAGAAACGAACATTTTCTTAAATGTACACTAAATTGAATCATAGATACTGTTTTGAAACAAGAAATCTCTTGACAACTTGTCACAGTAAAGCATATAAGAAATTCATTGCCAAGTAGGAAAAAAAATAGCGTTTTTTTTCGTATGTGATTTGTTGATGGTTACTGCGTATTGCAGTAGCTACGCTCTTTTACGTGTAAATTACAGTCTGTATTTTACTCTGGCTACTCACCTACCCCCACCCTATGTATAGCTTGTCCATATTCACTCTTTTCACCCCAAGCTTTTTTTATACACCCATGATCCTGCCTGTAGCCAGTCAGCTCATTTTGTTTTTCTCTCTTCCATGCTCCTCTTTCACCTATACAGCACGCTCCATCTCATTTTGTTTTTGTTTTTTTATTTTGCCAGTCTATGTCTGGCCTCTCCCTTTCTTTTTCTATCTGACTCGTGGACCTGGTAAAGGTGTGCATGTGTGATCAGTTGAGTGCACTTTTGGTCCTTGTTTGTATTATTCCATGACTACATGACAGCTGCTGCTATTACAATTATATATTGGTTGGGTGTGTTTTTTCTCTTTTACCTCTACTGATTTTTACAATCATTATTTACAATAAAACAAAATATATAGACAATGCCCATAAGCATTGTTATGAAACAGTGAGAGTTTGTTTCAAGTGCTGTATATAGAGTTGCCGGTGTCCTTGCTGCTATTACTAAGAAGCTGTTTTAAACTTTACTTAAAATGTTGAAGTTCCTTTTTCGATTTTAGGCCAAGATAAATAGATATAGATGTTTAAACGATTGTGGTATTGCTATGCCAATTTTAGAGGAAGTTGAATTGCCTTTGAGATTGGTATCAAGTGTGGAATTATATTTATTCATGGGTGTTTAGAGCCACAGTCTTGGCACATAGTGGCCATTGAAGCAGTTAAGTCTGAGTACTGTCTTTGAAAATTTTATCTTCAAACTAGGGCCACCATAGCGTTATATAACTCTTATCTCCGCACGAGTATCTAATTCAAGACTCAAGGACATTTCATATCTAGAACCATTATTAGAGTTTCAAAAAACTTCACCATTATCTTCTTTGAATTGATAATTCTTCATACACATGCCTGATAATTTTTCATACACGTGTCATAGACATGGCTATTAAAAAAACAAAACTCCTTGGAAATTCATAAACAAACTTGAATTGGCAAATTGCATGTAAATGTGGTACCTAATAATAAAAATGCATGGTTATAATTATATAAAAATTACACTTTAACGTGGCAAATTTTATACATATCAAGTTTTTAATTGACTTATTTGTCTTTACTTTTATGATTTTAGACAAATCCTTGCAAACATCCAATAATTTTCATGAGAGATGTGGAATTTGAACATCTGCAATCTCTTTTGGAGTTTATGTATGCTGGAGAAGTTAATATATCACAGGCAGAGCTGCCAACATTTTTGCGAACTGCAGAGTCTCTTCAAATTCGTGGCCTCACTGACTCCCAAAGCAATCAGCACAACAACGAAAAGGTAATAAATTTAAATTCAATAATTAATAAAATACTTTTGTCTATTTATTAATTTTATTGCTAAAACTAAAACACTAAAAAGTAAAAATGTATTTATGATAATCATGAGAATTTTTCACTAATGAATTAATTTTGTAGTATTCAAAACTGAACAACATCAATGCTTCAAATGGGCGTGGACTCGTTTCGCCAAATTTCGACGATGAACGCAGTAAAACGCCACCATCGTCAAGTCCTCCACCTCTCAAAAGGCTGTGTAAATCAAGTGATTCACCTCGGAACTCTAGTCCAGCACCGGCTGCACCATCATGTGCCACTACTACACCTCGCTCTCGACCACTCATCGAACCTCAAGTCCAACTCGATTGTTACAAGGACATGGACATTGTTGAGGTATAAACTTGTACATTTATACGTAATACCGGTTATAAATTTTTGATTAATAATACGTTTTATTCATAAATAGCCAAAAGTTGAACTACCAGAATACGGGAGTGATGACGAATCCAAACAAGATCTTAATGCATTACCGGGAGGTTTTCTTAGTTTGGATGGTGGAATGGAGGTTTTACCCTCCTATCCACCAACATATTCTGGTATGGTATAAGTTTTCACTTTTCTATATAATCGCTTCGATATTTTTTACAGAAGCTAACATTGCAAGATCGGCAGATAAAATATAGTCTTACTGAAATAATTAATGAAAATATTATTTTGCGCTCTTATGTTTCTGATTCATTATAATGATTAATTTTTCTAGTTGCATACATAAAAATAGTCCTATTATTGTATCTTGTTTTCTTAAATTCACACGTTAAAGTTACATTTTTAAAAGCACGCTGCATTATGGAATGTTGTACTCATAGCACATTTTCGTTTTTTTTCAAGTAGTATTCTAAAATACTATCTTTTCTGTAGGTAGTGGAATAGAAGGAGGAATGCCTGGGCCGTCGCATGGAAACACGGAGTTAAATCAGGAGCAGCAGGGTAAGTATTATTGTCACTGTTGTCGTTATTTTAGTAGTGCGAGCACCATTACAAACAGCAACAACCTAGCCGTTTACATCACAAGTATTGAATGTGAGTAGTTGGAAAGAAAGTGGAAAGAGAAAATGGATGAAAGAGAGGACGAAATAGCGAGACTGACAGTGGAAGTGAGATTAACGTTAGTGAAAGAAAGAGACAGAGTGTGAAAAAGTGAGGGAGAAAGAGAACGTAAAGGAGGAGGACGGATAATCTTGACGGTTTGAAATGGTAAGCTCGTGTGTAGCTCGGTAGGTCTTGTGGTAGGTGTTAGGAGAGACATTTGACACTCGGAGAGGCTGCTTCAACGGGCGCGAGTCCGTTACAGAGTGCAGTTTGCAGCTGTGATATGTATGAAAGATTAATTGACGTTTAACCTTTGGATTTTTGATCAAAAAAAGACAAAAGGCTTCTAAAAATTCTGTTACATAAAGCAAACTAAAACATTAACCAAAATAAAAAGGAACGTCTTATGTGTACATAATCCTTGGGTCTCCCTTTGCTTTTATTCTGTTTTTCTCATGCTTCCAATCACGCGTGTAAGTTTCGTTAATAATTTCTCGAAAAAGCACAAATCATCGACATTATTTCATTATATAAAAAATACATCAATTAATGCTAACGAACAATTGCTTCAAGACAATATGTTTAACACCACACTTTCTTGCATATACTATCCAAAAAGCTATTGTTTATCGTCATCATCATTAATTGCTTTTATCGTCTCGAATATTAAAGTAAAATTCCTTTAGTCTTTAAATAGATATGTTTATTACATTTGTCGAACGAGGATTGTTGTATCATTTTTTTATATTGAAATGAACATACCAGTAAAAGTGCTTTCTTTTTTATCAATGGCATTCATAATGCGCCTGTATTATTGTCAATTTTAATGCAAAAATATCATGAAGTGATATATTTATTTTCTCGTAATGCATATTGCCAAGAAACTTTGATCGCGTTTGTAAAATAGATCTTTAAATTTTCTGTGGATTGGAATTGAACGGTAATTTTTATTTTTCTGTAAACGATTTTTATTCGAAGGATATGGACAGGTAAATTTTTTATCCATAAAATAATTCAGTCCAACAAATTATGTACACAATAATCTTCGATATCAGACGGAGACTTGGAGACACAATGAACTGTGACGCACCTGTTTGTATCCTTAACGAACTACGCGATACGAATGACATTTAAAGTAATAGAATCAAAAGTTATAATATTTTTTGGCATGAACGTACATTTAAAAAATCAAATTTTTTACGAGAGACCGCGATGCCGGAAGACAGCAAAACAAAGAAAAGCTCATTGACTGAGTGTAGTTGCTAAATCTAGGAGATCGTTCGCTGGTTGTTGCTGTCCTGTGGTGGGTGGTTACTCATAACTCTTCTTTTCTCTAATCTCTTTTTTTCTAATTTTTTTTTCTTTTGTTTCTTGCTGTTGTTCGTTTCTTTAATTGCTGTTGTCTCACATCTCTCGTGCATTAAATTTTGAAAAAAATTAATTTCTGCGTATACGCGTTCTTTTTTCTTGGTTGCTATAATTGCTATTGGTTACATGTACATTGTTTCTCTTTATCTCTATTATTTTATCCATATTTTTTTCTGTTGTTCATGATCGTTTAAAAAAAAGTAAAGTGAAAGAAGTTGAAAAGCAAGTTTAGTAAACGTGCTATTTAGCTGTGGGCCTCTGCTATCGTCTCCTCGTGGTTAGAGCAAGAATTGTGTGTGTGTTGCAGCTGACCTGCGCAAACTGCACTCGCTGGACCCGCGCCCCTGTCCTGTGTGCAACCGCATGTACAGTAACTTGTCGAACCTGCGGCAGCACATACGCCTCATCCACAACCCCCAGAGTGTCACATGCCCTCTATGTAGCAAGCCGTTCAAGACCAAGCTCTACCTCAAGCGACACCTTGTCAGCTTCCACGACTTGAGCGTCGCTGAGCGTCAGCGTCAGGAGGAAATCTACCATCATCATCAGCCGTCATCGGTAGCAGCAGCAGTAGCAGCAACAACAGCAGCGGCGACATCCAATAGCAGTAGCAGCCTGAAGAACTCGTCTTCGTCCTCGTCGGCGAGCGTCGTCGCCGCAAATAATAACAACACCACCGCGAGCAGCACTGCCATGACGACGACGACGACAGCGGCTAGCTCGCCGTCGTCGTCGTCCGAGGGTAAACTTGAGGACGTGACAATGTCGTCGCCTAAAAGCGACCTCAACGCTAGCGCTGCTGGCCAGGGATTCGAGTTGGACTCAAAAACGACTAGCTTCGCAGGGGGCATGATACAGTTCAACGCGACTTTTCACTAATAGACAGCCTCCCGTTTTGCGTTTCTTTTTATTATTCGCGTCATCATCATCATCTTCTGATTCTTACTACTATTCGACGTGTCGCTAGACAATCCACGTCAACAACACACACCGGCCAAGTACGTTTCTCCAGATAACAAAGCACACACTTATCGACTTAGGCCAGTGTAAGTTCGTTATGACACTTGTATAAAAGCAACAAAGAAGTCGGCGCGACGCTTGTGCGCAGAGCCGGCATCTCACAAACCGCCAAAGAAATCTGTGATTTTTCCTCAGAGAGTGTTTCTGTCGACACAGGCCTCACACGGAAAAGCAATACACATCTATAATACATAGTTGAATAATGGATAAGTAATCATAAACAATAGCAAAGTGCAATCGGATATTAACGATACCCGTATTAACAGTTTTAAACATTAAACAAATGCGAACTTACACTGCGTTCCCTCAACTGAGCAACAGAGTACCTGATATTACGTTTTTATAATTGACCATATTGTGCATAAACAGAGATAATATGATTGGCTATAGTTGTTGAATGCAAACATAACATTAACTTAATAATAATAATGATATAATAATAATAATAATATAAATAATAGTAACAATTTGTGTTTGAATCTCTGAAACGTACTTGGCCGTTATACGTCGATCGCTCGTGCTAGCGCGCGCACGGATCTCTGTTAGGTGATTTACTAGTTTTTTAGCGTTCGTTTATTGTTTCGCTCAATTGCCCAGTATCTTCTTTGTGATATCTATGTTTATATTGTAATTTATATGTCGTTGATATAGGCTGTTTAGTTACATTATACAATAACGTTAGGTTTTTTTTTAAAGCAAATTATTAAGCTTCGTTTTTCGTTTTTACAATGGAAGCAGAAAAATATTCGTGTAGAGGTATTGCGACTCGAAGTAGAAAACGTACGATAAACGCCTCGTGCGCAGGACTATGCGATAGTCTATGCTCGAGCAAAGTTTTTTAGGCAAGTATATTAATGAAAAAAAAAAAAAATCACAAGGCTGATTCTATTTAAGGCACACAGAACAAAAGACAAGTGAAAAAAAATGAGCGCAATCGAGTGTCGGATATGTACAACTATGTATCTTAATCCTTCACACCTCCGATATGAGAGTAATATGATTTTTAATTCCAACCAGTGGAGGCGAGCATTTTTTAGTCGCAGGATGAACGACGACGTACGCGTACTAGTGATGTACATAGGATAAGTAAGCGACGATGATTGAAGCAAAAGAGAGAGTCTAGTTTTTGCTTGTGTACTGAGAGTAGCAGATCGTCCCGTGCCTGTTCGCCGCATGTTGCGTCGTTTTTTTTATCAATTTGGGAGAGGGGCTAAACCAACATTCGAGAGCGGCGAACGACGATGCGTATTAAAGTATAAAATATGTGAGGCGCGCGCGCACGATGATAAAGAAGAGAAAAACTAGAAAGTTTTTGCAAGAATGCAGGGAAATGGCGAAAAAGTAAGCAAACAAAAAAAAATAACGACGGTGGATCGGCCACCCCACCTCGTACCGTTTTGAACATAACTTTCTCGATAATAGCCCGGAATGGAAATAATAGTAAACACAAGACTTGTTGTTTTATTTGATGCTATACAGTGTTACACAGACTACAGATATTTACAACAATATTATATTCTTACAGAGAATTATATTTACTTTTAATAATTATTGCAGATAATCGCGATGTGCAATTGCAACAATTGAAAATAATAGGCTCGTAAAAACAATATATTTTTCACAATAATAGAGGAAGGAAGGATGCTTAAAAATAAAAAAAAAGGAAATGAAGAAGGGAGAAATGCGCGCAGCACCATTGTATACAGCCAATTGATAATGCAAACTTAGCAAGAGTGATAATGTTTATTGATTGAAAACAGTTATTGCCGAAGGAAAAACAAAACAAAAACAAACCGTGATTGCAAATGCTCACACATACACAGAGATGTGCAGCTAAATTTATTAAGATGAATGATGAAAGCATTAAACAAATAATAAGAAAAAAACGATATTATAAATAAATAAGAATGGCGAGATTTCGCGGCAACTGCGATAATGGTGATTGGTTAAATCCGACAGCGTAGGTCCATGCCGACTCAAAAGGCCAGATTAACAATAAAACCTCAAGACCGATTAGTTCCTAATACAGAGTTGACGTGTGGCTTTTTCTTCTCTCTCATTCTTTATCTGTCTAAAATGAAAAATGCGCCGGCGGAATTGAGCCTTCTCATATTTTTTATTGTCCACTATATACTGGAATTCGTTGCAATATATATATTTATATACAATAGCCACCGACTTCATGTAACGCGATGACCTGTTCGAATTTAGATTTACGCAAGCTTTCTTGTTATCAATTTCTATACGAACTGTTATTTATTGATTTTTTCTATTTTTTCAACGACAGATGATGGTGCTCTTAACTCTCATTCGTAGCGTGATCTCTGCCCTAAATCTACAGCATTTATCCGGGTTTTTGAGGTTTAAAAACTGACAAAACCGTAATACACCCTTAATTATATACGATGAACTACGAGCCATAGTTGATTATTTAATCAGTTGAACTGAATACACAAATTGATAATTGTTTTATTGATGGGTCAAGGTAACGCTACGACATAAATCCCACATAAACCGGTACAATTCAGTTTGAGACTGAAACGCAAGCTTTTGAAATAACAACGATTAATTTTACGATATTACAAAGTTATAATATTCGAACAGTGGTTACCTATTACGATAATTATTATGCAGTAGAGAGACTTGTTATCACAAATGACTAAGATTTTTGCGCTAGCGTTAGCTCGCACACTTGTTTATTTACAGAGATATAAATGCAATAGATCATGTTTTATTTTGGGAATCAAGCAAAGAGATAATAATAGGAACTATAATTGCAATAATATTACCAAGTTTTAGCTGCGCGAATGCAAAAATAAGCAAGCCAGAATGGTGATTTTCGTTCACATACATAGAGTACAAGAGTAATAATCACATACATGAATAGGCAGAAAGTTAAGGTTCGTATTCCCCGGCGCATATACCATATAATCCACAACATACAAGCGTCTTTCTCAGCTCATTCGCTCGCAATAGTGATTTCATTGACGACATATGTGCCTCGTTATACCGTCACGTTACGTGACATCTTAGGTATATACATACACAATAATAATAGGCCGATACCGAACCAGAAGATTCTGGAATCGCGATTTTTTGCGTTTGAAATAAATGCCGCTAATATCAATATACCATATTTGTAATACAAGGGAATGGATATGCGTAATGTAATATGCGTATGCATTCGACGCACGAGTTCGTTTTTCTACACGCGCACATTGTAACATAATTAAACAGGATAAAAGCTGCGAAGCGTTTATACACAGGCCGATATCGGCATGGATCCACTCTCCTCGACAAACCAAACGCGATGAACATTAAAATCTTAAACGCGAAAGCTCGCCAACCGCAATTTCCATAGCCATAGTACCACGCAGTACAACTCAGGATATACTCATTTTTTATATTATATTTTACAGATGACAATAGTTCCGTATAAAATGGTTAAATAAACGAAAGCAGCAAACCGCGTTGAACGCCTTATTATAAAAGCCGCAGCGGCACGCTTCAAATCTCACGAGCCCCGAGTGTCAAACGAATCCTAGGTAATCTCTTTCTCTCTTCTAATCGAAAGGGATTCGTTTGACCTCGCGACGGATTTTGCGTGCGCGTGGCCCACTATATATAATGACGCTTGGCGCGGCCGTTTTTCATACAAACCGGCTCTTCATACCTCAACAAATCAACAATCAAATGCAACCGAAAGCAAACAAAAAAATTAATTTAAAACGTAACCGCAAAAGCAGCTATATACATATACAATTGAAATATATTTAAGTATAAAAAAATGATGAAGAAAAATAAAAAATTGATTTTTGTTTGTAAAGCAAATGAACAAAAAAATAAGAATAATAGTAATAATAATAAGGCGCGCCCGGTCGACGATAAAAAATGGTCGCACGCGCTCTTCGCCGCGCGTTAGACCACCACCTCATCTCAACAGATTATGGTATCAAAAAGAAAAAAACTAATACAAATCGTAATTTCAAATCGGATTTTTTATCGGTACGGAAATATTGTAATATTGTAATAACGAAAACACACGTAAACACACTCACAAGCACACGAACAGGAAACACACAGCCGTGTACATATAATGAGAATGAAAAAAGTGAAAAGGACGAAGGAGAAAAAAAATGGAAGTAAACTCTGTGCCCAAACCACATTGTGAATGGGATTAATTTTTGTATTTATAATGCCTGTTATTACGTTGATAAGGGATATTTTGTATACACCAACCGCGTTCCATTAGTTGCAGATAGACAACAGCACGCCGTGTGTTTTTCTTTGGGACATCCGAAACGAGTTTATAAGAAAAGAACAAAAGGATCTCAAGCACGCGCGCGCAATGAATCGATAAAACGACGACACATAACAATAGATTATGCGATGGATGCCCAGCGTTTTAACCAGACACACACAGATAGGATAGGATTATAAATGTTGCATATCATAATAATATACATAATTGTTACGTGAGTTGTGCGAAAAAGCTCGGACACCCTGCATCTCTGACACGTAGTTTCGCGACTCGATTTTTCTTTCGTTTTCTCATGATATATCATTGCATTACAGTCTTCCTATCAACAAACAACTAACTTGTTTTTCATTCGATTTTTTGAAATGTTACTTTTTACTCGTTGATATATACTTGTATACAGACAACAACTGTGCCAATAATAATCAACTCATGAACCGACTCACGCAGCCTTCAACGTTGGCGGAGCTCTTCTTACGAATAGAAGAGTCTGTCGGCGATAATTGTACATAATAATGAAATAGCGCTTAAATAGAACAACCGATCGACCAGTGTCTCTCTCTCTACATTTGAACATTGTCAATGCAGCTGATGACAATTTTTTCCGTCCTCGCCGGCTCATGTTGAAGCCGAGCCGCTATACTATACGATTTTCAACGAAACTGCGAGAGACGGTGTCCGAGCAACGGTTTCCCTCTCCCTCCTCATTCTTACAACCCTCCTTCTCCTTCTCCTCCCTCGCCATCTCTTTTCTCTTGTTGAAGGGAATGCCAGCGCGCGTTTATCGCTTTCACACTATTACGTGGATACTTATATTTTTTGTAGCGACGACAAAATGGTTGAGTGGAGTGATGTTCGATTGTTGTTTTACCTTTTGGTTATTTGTAAAAAGATTATTATTTTTTACAACGTATTTATTTGTTTTGACGACTGCAATTAGCGAAATTGTCCTCTCTCTCTCTCTCTTTCTCTCTCTCTCTCTCTCTCTCTCTCTCTTTTACTCACTCTGTGATTAGCCAAGAGCTTTATTATAGCGATAGTTTTATTTATTTGGTTCTATTATAATTTGTTATAAGAAAGTTATAAAAAAATCATTTGCGAAATTATTTTTATTATTTTGTATGTTATATTTATTTTTGTATATCAATAAATGTCAGTCCCCTGGCATGCAATATATCAATGGTAAACCGTTTTGTTGTGTCTACAAAGGTAATAATAAGCTCGCAAGCTGAATATGTCAGTGCAGTGTTCGGCAAGCGAAAATTACTGCATTAAAATTCCACAGCTCCATGCATCGTTATATATATATTTATATCTAAACACACACACACACAATCACACACATACATAATTTTTCGAGTATATTTACTCAACGTACAGCACTTGATTACACTTTGGGATTGCGTACGTTTAGTAATGAATTTCATCTTTTTGCATATCCATAAATTTTAATTTTGTCATACGTTTTTATTCAAAACATATGTAAAGAGTGAATATACGGTAAGCTTCCGACGTATGTTGTCACATACGCAATACGCATAAATTATTTCTGCGAGTGCATATTCAGATTTTCCACGAGGAATGGCATTATTGTTTTCTGAGGTAATCTGTTTATTACACGAGCAATGTGTTTTTATCATTATTAATTTCCGTCAACAGGAACCTCGATTATAATTTTTTTCTTCGACTAATTTTTCGCGTATACGTGCATTTTCAATCATACAGATGTATGGAAAGCATTCATACACAATAATAATGAAGTATAGAAACAATCAATCACTCATGCCGTGTTACACTCGAAGGTTACACGTACAGTTATATAACGAGAATGGAAGAAAAAAAGCGAACGCGCGAATCCTCATATACAGGCTGAATCTTCGCTGGGCATTAAACCGGTTAACCTAGTTATTATATCCTCCGCAGCAATCTCAACCGAATCGACACCTTTTAAGCGTGTCACGCGTAAATAAAGCAAAGTAAAGCAAAATACATACACGTATTTCACATACACGCACAAATACACAAACAAAACAAAATGGCACACCACAAACAGAAATGCAAAAGTAAAAACAGGAATAATTATTTTTTCCTTTTAACTGCGAATTCTAATACACACAACGTCCCTCTTCCCTACAGCAGAGAGACGCATCATGCATCAATCTTCTTTCAACTTTTTGTTTGCACTTTTATCTCTCTCTGTCTGGTCGACGAGAATCTTCTTGCCGCTAGTACATCGACGTTGACGAATTCGCGGTCAGAGATACATTTCTCGTCGGTTTTTTGCGGGAAACTTTATATTTGATTATATTCTCCTATCTATATACACCTTACTATTGGTAATACATCTAAATACAGGATTTTCCAACGCATTCAAGACCGACGTCGCGATATTTAAACTGAAAATTTTTAATGCAAAAAATAAAGAAACGAACATCCAAAAAAAAAAAAAGAAAACGGCATAAAGGTAAAATTTCATCTCTTCGCAATCACAGTTTTGGAAGAAAAAAGTAATATTATGGCGCATCGTAAGAAAAAGAGATAATATTAACCACATACCCTTTTGCACTTACGTTTCGGACATGTAACTTTTTGTGGAACGACCAAAGTTCGTTTATGGTCAGGAACGGAAGAGAAGCAAACCAAAAAAACTAGAAAAGAAGGAAGCAAACAAAATAAAACTAAAACGGGAAAAGTGTTATTTGAAAAGTGTAACATAATGAAAAAAAAAAGAGTTCGTGTAAGATAAAAAAAAATAAAAGAAATCGTAAATTTGTAAAATTTACATTATTTATTTTTTCGTTTCGGCGTGCGTTGTATAGAGAAAAAAAATGTTCGTATTTTGGAATAACAAACTTTGGAGAATGAGCGAAAAAAACTTGTAAATTTTGTAAAATTCAAAATGATCGTTCTGTTTTAATGAACTTTTTCGATGATAGACGTTTATAATAACCTTTAGGCGACGTTTTTTCGAAAGGTAAACGAAGGTAACACTTTTCTCCACCCGCGAATGAGCGACGACTTTTTCGAAGGTAATAATGAAACAAAAAAAAAATATTCAACACCTGGAGGTATCCAAAAGAGTAAAAAAAAGAAATCTTAAGAAAGCAAAAAAAAATGAGTGGAATAAAACGATAAAAAAAATGACAAAAATGAAAAGAAAATGATCGGTACGTTCGTTTGTGTCCTGTAAATATGTAAATTAACTGATAAGCATTTATATTTCCATGCAGTCAGCTGCAAAGGGGTTTCTCTCGTTCCCCTCATATATATACTTATAAAAGTAAAGAAAAAATGAAGCGAGACAAAGCTCCTTCTGGGATATCAATGGCTCTCTCTGTCTCTTTCTATCGAGTTGTTTCCGTGACTTTACCCGCGTGATTTATTTCACGGAGTAGAGATGAAAAAATATGTAGGTTGAGGAAAAAAATCTTTCCTTTGGACTGAAACGCGCAGGGAGAAAATATATTTTTTTAAGAGTCAAGTTTGTCCTATTTAAGCGTGTACCCTTTGCAAAAGTTAAGCGAAGATTTCGGGTAGTAAAAGTTCTCTCTCTTTTCTAGTCACTTTCTTTCTTTTTACGAGGCAATGAGATGAAAATGAAGAGGGTAGTGATACGTTCCACTACACACACAGGTCTTCAGAATTTTTTACGAGTCATAGCTTGCGAGAGAGAAAAGTTTCGGTCAGTGCCGAGTTCTGAAATTTTATCTTTCGCATCGATGCCAATGCAATTGACAATTTGCGATAAAATTTGTATTATAAGATAGCTCGCAAACGCTGTGATTGTGACCAAAATTACTTCTAGTCGGATACTGAAAGAAACGAAGTTATTTGATTTTTGAAGAAATGCCAAATTTTTCGAACAATCTCTTCGCGAAGATAAGCAACTTTCAAGCGAAGTATCGTGGAGTAAAAAAACGTCGTTAATCACTTTGTTCGAACGAACGTAAACTTTCTCCAGCCGTGGTAAAAAATGAAGAAGATAGCGAAACTTGAGTGTTCATTTTTTCGTAGAACAAGGGAAACGCGCGGGAGAGAGAGATAACGATAACCGAGGAGGAGTTCGTATTTAGATGAGCAAAGTTTCGGCTCGCAGCTTTCTTTAGAGGCTTCTTTTGATGGATTTCCGCCGTTATGAATCCTCAAATTTTGTTCGGACCATTAACGATTGAAAAAAGGAAAGAAACGTTACAGACCTAGGATTGAAAATCCTAACGTGTCGGTGCATTTACATAGTTTTTCTAGTCATGTAAAAAGGAAAAAATTTGAAAAATGAAGAAAATGTTTTCGGTCTATACCATATAATGTGCACCGACGTGCGAAATTTTGTACATAGGAAACTTAGCGATAGGAAACGAAAGATGCGAGGACAGAACTAAAAAAAATTACGATTAGCCTCTTTCAAAAAGACTCTAAAGCTAAAGTTAAAAAGAAAAAAAAAGGAAAAAAATAAAAAAATCGTAATCACGTGTATTAACGAGTATTAAATTAATTCGCTTCGAAGTAATTAAACTTAACCACGCTGTATTCCCCCCTGAATGAAAGGAAAGCCTATATATTCATTCGAATCATGGCATACCCAAGGTAATTTATGTAAGCTTTAGGTAAAGGACACTAATCTTATCACACACGTACATACACGTATTATACACATCACATACACTCACACACCAAAAAAAAACACGCCAATTAATCACTTAATCACGTCCACGCATTTAACATATAATTATTATAATGAAAAAAATCATAAGACAAGGTAAATCGTAAAAGTGTAAACGTTTAAATTAAATTATTGTAAACTCTTTCACGTGCATTCATTTATGCAATAAGGAATCGTAAATATGTCGAGGAAAAAACAAAGCGTAATTGATTCGTATGAAACCACATTCACGCAAGCATATGAATTATTATTCTTATGGTCTCATTATCATTATTACTAACTATTACTACTAACTAAAAGAATACTACTACACACGCGACACTTTATTAAGAATGTAATGAACGAATGGGATAGACCAGGCGCACGTTTGCAGTAACATTTTGAAAGGACATCGTCATCGCACCTTCAGTGCGCGAGTAAATTAACGTTGATGGGAAAGAAACCAAGTACTATAGTTGTAAAACACTCTTTAGCCATGTAAGTGCGACTGATAATGGTATTAATAATTGGGAGGAAGCGCAAGTTTTATGCGGATGCGCGATGCGTGTAAGAGTGGGTCATGAATAAACAAACAAAACGAAAAAAAATGTTTGATTAATGAATACACGCTCAAGAGAGTTTTGGCTACTTGCAAAAAAAGACCGGTAACGATTTCACGCGGACGACTGATGAATCTCAGCGCCTTTCGACTGGCGATCGATCGTTTTTTTGGAAAATTAACCCAACAATAGTAATTTTAATATTGAAGTTGCAAACGCATAATTAATTATGTCACGATGATGATTCCTTTCTAGTCGTCCGCGTTGAGTGAGCGTCACATCAAAATTGTACGACGACGACCACATATTCACTCATACACAGTTTTATAAAAAAAAAATGCTTGAGAATTCCGTTTTGAAATAAAGGAAACCTGATATGCGATGAGAACGTTATCTGCCACATACGTCCACGTTTCACTTTACACTCGTCGCGGTGATATAACTTGCGTTTTAAGCACGCTCTTAACGTTTAAGCAAAGGTAAAAAATAAAAAAATTGTCTTTAAGCTTTAAGTAATTCGAGATGGGAAAAACAATGAATCACAAGTCACGTCGACGCTACAAATGAAATGAGAAAGCGGTCTTTCCGCTTGTATTCGTCGAGACTGATATAAACTGTGGAGGTAAACAAAGTTACTTGTAGAGTAACGGCAAGCATTGTAAAAATGACGAACACCTGTGATACAATGTGCGACTGCGATTATTCATTGATGTGTTGGTTGAAGGGATGGATGTACGGAAATTGCTGGCCTGGAAATTTAATTCTCGCTGTAGTTTATTTTTTCACAACGCCATTCTTAAATCCATTTGAAAAGTCGCACGTTTTCTAAAAGTAACGTCTAAAAAGACTTTTTTTATTTTTACTTTGAGCTTTCACGCACTTTTTCCGTTACTCGACAATAATATCTATTTCCGTCCGCCTCAAGCATTACGTTATCTTTCAACCCTCTTCTCTCCGCCCTCCCCTAAGATATTGAAAAGTGATTGGACACATAGGGCAAAGCATACTTAAACGCAGTCGCGCACGTTCCAGGCGTGTCGGCTAAAAGTCAAGATCGAGGCTTTTCGATATTACACGTTTTCCGACGGTGTGGCTTGATGTTTTATTTTCACGCGTGTACTCGATCGCAAAGAACTTCATCCATTGGTTCGTTTTCAAATCGAGTCGATCTTCCTTTAACAAACATTCACGCATGACTTTTCAACCGGTAGCTTTGCAATGTTCGGTCGACCATGAATATTCTTGATTTTCACGTAGAAGCAAACGTTCGTGCACGAAATAGCAGCTTGAAACAATAATTCGAGTGCACGCGTTGCGAAGTACGACATGGCCAACCGTTGGGAAAATCCTCGATCTTAAAATTGTATCGCAGGTGCGAGAACGAGCATCTGTCGGAGAGCCGCGTTGAAAAATTATTTTGCTTCGCGCGAGAAATCTCTCCTCCGATGACTCTTCCTCTCCACCCCCCACGCGAAACAGAAGAAACAAGTTCGAGAACTCTCTTACGACACTCTTGACATTTTTATTCGTTTCTCCACGTTTTTGTGTTTCACTCCCTTGATTTATTTCATTCAAAGAAAACCTGTATATACACTTTCCTCGCGCGAAGATTAATCGCGTTTCGGGGAAGTCTGGCGGAAAAGGGGAAAGTACTAATCGCCGGGACATCCACTCTGCTGCCTTCCGTTTTTTCTTTCGCCGGCTCGGACAACGGGAATTCTCTCTGGCTCAGCGTTCACGGAGCCGGATATCGACTCGTTTATGCGCGCGCTGCTTTTTGCCAATTGAATTTCGACGACTCGGCGATTCCTCTCTCGCTCTACGGACTCGGCTACAAGTTTTGTTTGCTGAAACAACTTCCGAGGTCGTTGCTTCGCGGGTCGACGTGTCTCGTAACGGTAAGCATTTTTATCCAAGTGTCGAATTACAATTGTCGTCACAAACTTTATTTTGTTTGAAAACTTAATTCTTATTATTCAATTACCGATCGGTTATCGCCAAGCTCTATCTCTCTTTATTCTTGGGCGCGAAATTCAATTAAAAGTTTGAATCTCACTTGAAATGGAACTTCGCATCTAGTTGATGGCCGTGAAAAATTGTCCCACAGTTGTGTATTATCGGAGCAGCCGCACAGACGAGGTAACGGTTAATTGAATCGCCGACAAAAGAATAAAGACAGCAGTACATCACTCATTAATAATTCGTCCCATTCCTGTCCCCGACATACACTATCATATTATTTTCTTCTCACAGCGCATGATTATTCGTCGCGTCTTGTTACGTATTATTTATTTGTGAGTGGTCCAGTGGGTACACTCGTCATGTTTCACCTACAAACACACGCACACACTTACACGCCCGCATATTCACCGAGCAGATGTGCTTTCGATTTCGGAAGATTCGAAGAAAAATTTTTTGTACAGCGGCGTAATTCGGAATTAAGACTGATATATTGTAAATTTTCTGCGTGAAAGAAAAAAAGGAGACTTTTTGTACAAAAGGAAAAAAAAAGGGTAAATGAAAAATAAAATTTTTCGGCGAGCGGACAAAATTGTTGAAAAACAAAGAAAACTAAAGTTGGATCTCTCGCATCCAAGGCATATCGACTCTTTTTACCTTTTCTTTCATTTTTATATCGATCAAGCTTATTTTACTTGTTTGGAGAGACACCTTTTGTAAGTGCTTTTATTTTCTATTGTCAAAAGAAAATAGCGAGAAAATTCTGTCTGACGAGCAAAAAGCGATAAAGAAGAATAGAAAATAAAACGAAAAAAAATTAAAAATAATTGAACATAAAGGAAGAAAAGAAACACAACATTTCATGGTATTCACTATTCATTACTATTCATTGTAAAACTTTGCAATAGATATATCGGTCCTATGTAAGCGTTTACGTTTGTTTTTTTATACCTAATGACTATTCTGAATGAAAAAGGAAAATAATAAACAACCACATTTTGTCGGCTATATAAATATAACTCCTCGTTTTATTTACTCTCTCTCTCTCTCTCTCAAATTTGTGAATGGTGTGTATGCTTGCTTACATGGTGCTATTGTTATTTTAACATTCTGTGAATCCTAATTTCCCTTGAAATTTTGGTCGAAAGCTAGACAAATATTTGAACACTCGCTGGAATATGTAATTTCCAGAGGAAGAAGCTTCTTAAAGAAGAACAAAAGTCGTTTCGAGACTTTTGAGGTGAATAACATTTGGCAATAAACGATTTTGTTTAGTTGATTAGGATTCTTATTTTATGGTCTATTTGACTAATAATTGACTTTTAATCGCGTTACATTGAATTCGTAATTGGTACGAATAATCTTTAACGTTACTCCATATTTTATCAACCTCCATAAAATCAATTTGTCATGTTCCGAAATAAGTAATAAAAAAGAGCTTTCCAAATTCATCATTTCATCGGAAGGTCTTCGTTGAAATCTCGTATACCTCTCGTATACGTCATTTTCACCCACGCGTACGAAATTACCAAAGTGATTTCCGCATTAACTCGGTCGACTTCCGTGGGATATTTTCCATTTGAACCCTCGTATTTTTCCTGATTGAATATTCAAGGCTCGAAGGAGATAAGCTGCTGAACTTTGTCATTTGAAAACTACATATATCACGGAGAGGCATGTTGTTTTCGAAAGTGTATCAATGTTTGTTTTCGTGTAATCTATAGTCTTTCCGCTTTTTTTTTAATCAAGGATATAAACACCAAGTTTATTGCAAAGAAGAATGAAGCGGTAAGCCGAAGGAATATTGCCGAGGAGCCACACACACTTACGCGCGCGCGCACACATACACACACACACACACATTGGCTTTCCGCACTTTACTGAGGCATTATTTCAGGAGGCAAAGTTCAATATAGCAGGCAATTGATAATCTGTCCATTTATTCAATAATAACAGCATGCGTGATATACGGTAGAGGGAGAAAATGGCAAATGGACGCATTTATCCTCCTGGCATTTTATCCTAAAACCCAAGGGCAGGGCTAATAACGCGTAAAAAACTACTCTTTCCTCGCTATACCACACTGTAGAAAAAGAAACAATTTCCTCTGTTGGATTGTTAGCATGGAGAAGAAAATGTTCCGCATCAACATTCAAAGTTGTTGTACTGCTAATACTTTTTGCATGTCTATCGCCGGGCGGAGGCTTCACGGACGAAAGTTTTTAGATTAGCTATTAAAGGGTTGATGATAATGGGCTTGTTTGCTATTGATTTTATTTCTTAATAGGCAATCATCGAGAATTCCAAGTACTTGTCGAACGAGTCTGTTTTAATCGATACATCGACAGATCGTTTAATAATACATCTCACGATTCTGATTTTTGGATGTAATTCCATTCAGCCTATAAAAAGCTCAAAAGACTGATTCATCGCAGAAAACCGACGGATAATGACGCGTAATGGAACAGTAATCAGTATTGCAGGCCTTCGTGATAACCGAATGCATTTGTGTAAAGCCGTCGATTCGCGAAGCATGTTTAAAGGAACATACGAGGCAGAACGAATATCAGGATTATTAACGTCGCAATTACAAAGTACAATCGCCGAGTGCATGTAACGAACGGCATTAAACAAGCCTGCCTGAGAATTAGACTCTCGGATTTTATTTTGAATCACCACGCGTGCAAATGGCGCAGAGCGAATTCCGATATTCCGGGAAATTGGAGCAGCTATGGTCGTTGGATTAAACTTGGATAAAGTTTGATTTCACGTTTACAACGGCAATCGATCTTCTGCCTTCCGCGTTCGAAGTGATGCACGGTTATTTTACGCGGCAAGTGACTTGAAAGCAAGTCGACGCGGAAAAGGCATCTGCACAAAGCACGAAGTATAAAGTAGCTTTGGCCAGGGCAAATCTCGAGTAACGGGCTCGGCCATGCAAATATATCCGCGTTGGAATAACAAGAGAGAGCATTCGGAATCGAATTGTCGTCGTCTTGTTAGGGCTCTTCCGTGTGACTAATGGCCTATCTAAGTAGAAGGGGCAGCCAGGTGATATACAAAGCTATATGCGCGATTTTTAAGCCAAGCCAATAAGTAAGCCATTCGATTCGCTCTCATCCCTTGCCTCTTTGATCTACATTCGGCTTTAATGACAGATCGCTAGACAGTGATATTGCATGCGGATTTGTTGTAACTATGCTTCCTGGATTCCGAGCCAAGTCTTTCCGATACGTGAGGTTTTTACAGATTGCAGCTTTAATGAGATTTGCTTACTTTTCTCACGGACAGGACGCGAGATTCGCTTTGATCTCTAACTCTATTAGTTTGCCCGGAGAGGATTGCTAAATCTGCGTGCTCTCTTTTTGTAAGCGTTCGTGTTTGGGCGAAACGGGCTTATTTTTCTGTGCAACTTTCATGAAATCTTCCGAATATGAAATGAGATGCATTGAAAATAATTATCTTTCTATTCTACACTAGTGACATCAAAAGACAAGCTCTTTTTTTTCTTTTTTTGGTAATATTGATTAACATAATCAACACAAATAATTTTTTCAAAGATGGATTTTTTAATTTTTCTACAGATCACATATCACACTGGAAAAATTTGTACTACTACAATTACATACTTCCAAATTCATATCTTATGGATGGCAATAAATAATCTTTTAGTTCTTTTCGACTATACGGATTAAATTATTATGAAAATTTTATTCTACTTCTTGAATAAAGATTGCGATATTACAACATTTATTTCGATTCGATTATGTTATTTCGATTTCACATGTTCAAAATCCAGATTATCGATTAGAAAATAATTAGAACAATTTGAAAATATAAGATCTTGTTTTTACCCAACGATTTACTCACTGCTAAAAAAAATAAAACGAGTGTTAAAATAATAACACCTCAGCCTATATTCTTTTTATTTTCGTTATTTTCGAAATGAGTCGTATCAATTATGATAAATTAAATTTTTATTAGTAAAATCTCAACTCGAAAGCACACATACACGCTTATTTGCCATCAAATCACTTATCAGCCATTATAACAATATTAATATTTAACAAATTACACTTATCAAAATCAAATCACGAATAAAATGCTTAAAAATGGCATCCATAACTTTTTGTAAGGGAAAAGGGGAAAGAGGATTCGAGCCTTAGCATTGCCATTAACTTTAATTATTTTATCCGTGAGCATATTTATTTACTACGAATTAATTAGACTTATTATTAAACACGACGCAACAAGATGAGACCATCAGTACAACAAAAGAAACTGTACATAGCACTGGGTTACATGCTGTCTATATTTGCGCACGATCGAGGTCGAAAAATCGTTCTAATTAAAACGCTCGCGACGTTGATGAAAGAAGAAAAAAAAAGGGCCAAGTCGTCGATGCTGATTGCTCGAAGCGAAGTTTGTTGCGTTGATTAAAGGGAGGTGAAGGTAAATAACTGTTTCGTCGTATCAATTTCGCAACGAAGCTGCAACGTTTCTTTTTTTATGTTTGCGATATACTTTTACACAGCGATTCGACTAATTAAGTTTCACTTCTTCTTCTTCGTCTTCTTCTTCTTCATATCCCTCGTCCCTTGACCTGCTTCTTATCCATCATTGATTAAATTTCTTTTGATTCGGATTGATCGACTCGTTGCGCGCGCTTCGGAATAATTTCGACTTGTCTGTAATTAATTTGGATTAATTATGACTTGCTTTGCAAGAACGATAACATGTTTTGATTTATTATGCCAGGCTTGAAGACATTTACACTGTTTCCATTTTTATTTTATGGAGTGCAAATCTGATTTACAATTGGCGCTTTCCGCACGGAAACGTTGAAAACATTTTCTTGTTTCGTTTCGTCGACATTTTTCGCAAACACTACCCCCTTTTACAGTCGGCACGAATAAAAATACCGCCGATTGTAAAAGTAAACTCGTTTTAACAATCCGCGTTTCACAATAAGCTAACCGTAGTCGTGCAGTGCTTGACAAAGGCAACGCTTGTTGTTTGTTTCAGCAACGGGTCGACGAGTTCGACGCGGCAGGCCGCGACTCGGGGCCCGCGGTGGTGGTGCCGCTGGAAGACAACAACAACACCACAGCGGCGTGTGTCATGGTAATTCACCATCGAGAAGCGACTGGTTACCACTTGACATGAGGACGACACCACCGGTTATGCCTGCTTTTCGTGGTTTCGACGACAGCCTGTCTGCGGATGGTGTGGTGAGTACAAATTTTCCGTTCAACATGTTTTTAAATGTTTGAAATTCAAGTTATCTATGCAGAGTTCTCAAATTCTAATTATTCATTTTACTTTATAAAATGAAGATTTCGAAACTCGCCTGATCTTGTTGACATAATTACGTTCTGATTTATGAACATGTAAGTTTGATCAGCTTACTTTTTGATGACAAGTGTTCCATATTTACCGAAATCACTAAAACAGTAGCTCGAGGCTTATTTCCTTGTACGAAGCAAGTCTTACCAAAGTCAGTAAAAACGTTTGCTAATTTACAAAAAATACACATGCTCTAGATCTAACCCCGTATTAAAATTGTCGTATGTACGTAGGCTTACCTTAGTACCTAAGGCGTAACATTGCATCAATTTGAAAACATTAAAGCTTTCACGTGAAATGAAGAGTAAAGTGTATTTCCTGTATAATTAAACGGATCCTTGCATATAAAGTCCACGACCCAAAGACGATCATTAAATCATTAAGCAATGGTTATTGACTTCATAGCACAAATTTAAAAATTTCTCGTTCCTTTTTTCTCTCGCCCCTCGTTTTAATTCGCTTCTATAAAAATTCACCTTAAGCCATTTGCGTTCTCAAGTATTACTCTGATCGTCCTGTCCCCGACCATCCGAGAGACAATTGTCTTGAGAAGGACAATAAAATCTCTTAGGTCAGCGCGTGGTATTTCAAAAATATCTTTGTAAATTCCCAACGAGACTAAAAACATTATCGAGCTTTCTCTTGACGAGGAGG